TTTTTTTTTGCTGTTGTTCTGACATCATATCGATTCTTTTTTTGTGTGTGTAAATTGATGCCACAATTTTCTGGAACCAAATATTACAGACCAAATGACACTTTTCTTTTAAATAGCGTACTAGTTTATTGTATTACTTTTGCTGATACTGGATGAAGTATAATGTAAATAGCCCTGCTAAAGCTGTAACGAGTTGTTGTTTTTAGGTTCTGATCATCAGACTGTTTAATGCAGCTATTCATTTAATTGGCAGAAATAGAGGGCAGCGAAATTAAATATTGCTTAAGGCGCATGGGAACTTGGGTCGACCCTGTTAAAATCTATTCACTTTAGATAAATATTTAACTCCATTTCAGAATACATGTCGTTTCTAGATAATTGAGAAAAACAACAGTTAGTCTCAGTCAGAAAACTTCAGGTTATGAAATATTTTCTCTCTGAGGAATACCAGGAGATTGCATTGAGTCAATGATTTGTTGCATTAATGCTTGGATTAATATTTCTGTCAGCATCCACACAGCATGATTGTGCCACTACCATGCTTCACTATGGGGATGCCCAAAATTATAGTTCCATTCAATTTAATTCAGTTGATTTATACACTGCAAAAAAATCTAAATCTAGATAAGTCAATTTTTTCTTAAAGTAAGTGCATTTCTTCTTGAATTGAGGAGGTAAAATAGACATTTTGCCAATGGAACAAGACAATTTACACCTAAAATAAGAAAACACAATTCCATTGTCTTATTTCAAGTGCATATTATCTAATTATCTTATTTTAAGACTAAAACTACTCATTCCATTGGCAAACTATCTCATTTACCTACTCAAATTAAGGGTGAATACACTTAATTTAAGACATTTTTACTTATTTCTAGATCGTTTTTGCAGTGTATAGCACCGATTCACAACACATGTCATCTAAAGGCATCTCAAGTTCATCTTTTGTCATGGCTTGTAGCAAAGTTTAAATGGGACCTGTGAAACTCGTTTTTTTCCTTGTTCCTTTTGTAATAGTTAGTTGTATTGCTGACCAAATTCTCCTACTTGAGCTGTGGATCTTTTGGCCTCTTCGATGAATCTCCGATTAATCAAGTAGTATTATAGCCAAAAACGAATATCAGCCTTTTATCCTTAAAAACATGTTTAAATGCGGTACAAATTTTCTTTTCATTTTAGGATGATGCACATCTTAGTTCATCACATCATGGTAAAATACGTGAATTTTGCTCTTAAATGTAAAAACATTTTAAAAGTTTAAAGGGTGTGAATCGCTGTAGATCAGAATAGGGGTAAATATAGTCGGGACACTTATTGTAAACCCATGGAACAGGACTTATTTGTCCCAAATTCTATTTTTCCCAAATGGGTTGGCGTTTTTTAACATAAAAAGAATAGATTCATAATATATGAAAAATAAAGCGGTATATTATGAGACATTTAAGGCTTTTTATTCTAACTTTGTTAAATTTATAAACTCAGCTCACCTAAACTGCACTAACTAAAAAAACACTTTCTACTTCTTTAATCTCTTAATATGTTACAATGTTCCAACTTTAATCTTTTCTAAAGATTTTTATTATTAAGAGATAAATTTTTATTCTCGTAGATTTAATATTAGGAGCTTTTTTGTATTTACGACTTTAATCTGTAAATATCACAACTTTAATCTTGTAAAGTTCACATCTTGACTTTATTTTAGTAGCATAACAATTTTATTCTGTTAATGCTACTATTTAATCTCCAGTTATTATGACTTAATCCTGGTAATGTTACGACTTTGTTCTCGTACACTTAATATTTTGGTTTTATTTTAGTAATAATAAAACTTTATTCTGGTTTTCGCACATTTAAAAAAAAATCTTCTAATGACTTTATTTTTCCCAATATTACAGGTTTGTGGTTGTTATGTTGTAATGACTTTACTTTTTTAACCTGATATAATGATTTTTCTGTCAGTATTACGACTTTAATCTAGAAATGTTATGATTTAATTCCTGTTGACCATTCTGACTTTATTCTGACATTTTCACAACTTTATTGTGGAAATGTTATAACGTTATTATAGTAATATTATCCCTTTAATCTTGTAATGTTAAAATTTTATTTCTGTAGACTTAATATGATGGCTATTCTTTCAACTTTATGAATTTTATGAATTTATTCTCTTAACATTTTGACTTTATTTTTATATTTTTAAAAATGCTTATCTCTTAGTACAACCCTAATGCTGTTCTGTCTGAGGACGGTAAAAACAACAACATACAACTCATGTTTGAACTTTAGATCGTCTGCTTGCGGTTTGTACCTGTTTGAGATGAGACTAAACCTACGGAGGCATTCCGGTTTAACAGGTTATTAGCAAATGATTTTATTCCAGCAAATGAGCGAGTGTAGAACACAACGCATTTGTTTGACAGATTAAAACTAAAAGCTGTCAGCTTCTTATCCCTGCAGGCTGCGACAAAGGAAGACTGACGATAAAGAAGAATGCTGCATGTGCTATAAAATCTACTGAGTGCTGCTTATGATCAGACCAAACTGAGAAGTCAAAAGTGTCTAGATGAGAAACCAGATACCGGATCGTAAGGTGTAACAACAATTCTACACATTCAGTTGAATGAAATCCTGATAGGTTCTCAGTCCTGCTACATCTCTCCATGGCAGACAGAGAGCCCTGCTAACGATGGGGCGCCAGATTATTAGGGGCCAACTATCCACAGCTTCAGGTGTTTACTCAGATTATCTTTGTCCGATATCAAACATTTTTGATGATCTGAACTATTTGAGGTGCAACAAAACCACCTTTCTAACAGCTTTGTTAACTTTTCAACTATCATAAATTTGGTTTTGGTATCTTTAGGAGGCACACGATGAAAAAAGAAGAATGATGGGTTCTTGACTTCTAAAGGATATTTATTTATCAGTCTGTGAAACTACTCAGCAGCTTTTATGTTTTTGTGCTGATAAGCAAATAGAAAATCTATGATGTTTTAGGATCTCCTCTCTTTAGTTTGTAAAAATGAGGGATAATATTTACTTGTCATAGTAACAGACTGGATGAACCATCAGAACTGGTGGAGCCAGCTCTTTGTGCAGCCATAACCTAAAGTGTACATTAGCCAAACCCTCCAGTTTGATGGGGACGGTATGAGCTGTCTGCACACCTCCACCTGAAAAACCAAACATGAGGAGCTCACCCGACGCGCCTCCTGGATCTGTTTCCGAACCACCTCCTTGATGCTCGGTGTCTTATTCCTGGGGGGGTGAAACAGCAGGCTGATGCTGGTGTCCAGCTCCTCCCGGCTGACCCCTGGCCAGCCCAGCTCCAGTTCCGGCACCTCCTCGTCAGACTCACAGGGGAAGTAGGTGGAAGGAGTGACCCTGTCTGCGTCTGACGGGCCTCCAGAGTCATCATCCAGAACCGGTAGCTCAGCATTTTCTAAAATAAAGCGGATCTCCTCCTCGGAAAGAAAGTGGCTGATCTGCTCAACCCTCAGATACTCGTGGTAGGCCTCGGTGCCGCCACACAGCAGGGCATAGATGGCCAGGCGGTAGGCCTCCTTGTAGTGAGGCTGAACGTAGATGCTTTCATCCTCGATGGAGGACAGCTCGGACAGGTTGGACTCCATGGCTCTGTGAGCAAAAGCATCGCATTTAGTCCCACATGTCACAGCTCTTTCACACTTTTATCATTTCAAATTTCTCACTTTAGAAGAAGACGCACGACTGTACTGCAAAGCATTTATATGAATAAGATTTGTTTAAAAGAATAATTCCTGTTTGAATATTTCACACATTCAAAATCCAGCCTTCATATGTGAATAAAACGCTTTATGACAGCTGCCTTTTTACCCCTGTTCCTCTATTAAGCATTGAGAAAGTAACATAGAGACTTACTTGGTCACTTCAAAGAGAATCCTTGGTTTCCTGCTTTGCTGAGAACTTCAAGCATACTTTAAAATCTCCAAAGAGTTTGCTTGTCTCCAGCATGAAGCAGCAGCTGGGAACTTAAAGCCTGCTGTACCTGATCTGGTCCCTCCTCTGACTGATACTCTGATAGGCTCCACCCACCTGAGCTCACCTGGTCTGCAGGAACAGGTTATTCCTGCTGCTCACGTGCAGCCTCTACCTGTTCGTTGCTGTTGCTCAGTTCAGTGCTGCTGCTGAGTCTGTGATGATGATGATGATGATGATGATGATGAGGGGGAAGTATATGTAGTGAATTTTTGTCTGTAATTGTTAAAAACAACTGGAAAATGGAAATTTGAAAACTCACCACCCACAAGTCAAACTTAGATAAAAAGTTGTAATAAAAAAAGGTTTTAAGAGCAGAAAGAAAATGTTTTATGTATTATTTTCAAACTTTTTTTTGTTAGTTTTTTTTTTTTTTTTTTTTTTACAAATTTTCTACTTTCAAATTTCTCTTTTTATATTTCATTTTCTGAAAAGCACTGTTTCAATAGAGTTTCACAAATCACATTCTCTTCATTTAAAACCCAAATTCAAATGCTTGCTCTTGACCAATAAAACACATTGACCAATAAAATGTTGCTAATTTCCATGTAGACCAATAGAAATCACTCTTTGCTCCCTAAAACAGGGTAAAACCCGCCCCAGATGCAATTTGTAAAACTCAATCCATACAAGAAAAATCGGCGAAAAAAATGCTTTTTAAAATAAATAAACAATAATTTTAAACAGTAAAATCTATTTTGTGATAAAATGTAAAAAAAAAAAAAAAACAAGTAAAAACAAAAACAATTAATTCAATTGAAAAAAGTTCCTGGATGGGAAGCGAAATATCTTCAAAGTTTGCAACAAAGTCCAGTGGATTGTAATTTTAACTTTTTTGGAATGAAATAAGCAAAACTCCTTTTAAAACCCTTTTGTTTAAAACCTTTTTTTTCAATGTTTAATACCTTTTTTTTTTCTTGTTTGCAACAATAATGGAAGAAAATTCACTCCATAGATAGAAATTACACACAAAGACGACTGAATCGGGTTGACATTTGCATTTTATTCCCATTAAGCACTACAGAGACAACAACAGGACCGTCCACATGCAGGTGGACAGTTCTGGCACAGAGATGAAGGCAGGGAGCATAATCTTTGCTCTCCTTCCGAGTTACTTTAGAATAAACAGAAACTAAAGGAGTTTTCAGGTAAATTTGGAGGAAACTTTACCCTCAGGGTGGTCCAATATATTAATGGGTTTAGGGTACAAGCTTAATACCCTAAATGGGCTGACATTTCTTATTTCTGGGACCCAAGACAGCTGACGGATTAATCCAAAAAGTTTGGTGGAAGGAAAACATTTTATGTGGATGGAGGATGAAAAGTGGTGCGACTGAACCATGAGGGGGCGCTGCTAATAAAACTATTACCTGCTTCTGAGGTTTATTGAGTTTCTTAAATCTTAGTCTCACTTTGTAATGAGTATCATGTTTTTAGTTGTTGGCTCATCTTTTTTCTAAGGTAAAATTGAGTATATAGTAATATATACTATATTATTATATAGTAGTATATATAGTATTATATAGTAATATATAGTATTCAGTAACTTATTAATTTAACTGAGGAAATGAAACATACAGCTCCTATTTCTCCCTCCTTCTATTTTTTAGTGTTGCTTTGCTCTCAGTAATTGATACTTGATTGATTGCTTACTTTCTGGGCGGGGTGGGAGATTTCATGAACCTGGGGGGGGTTGGGGACTTGACACTACGGGGGGGAGTGGGGGACTTGGGTGTGGGGGTTGGGGACTTGGATGCCGGGGTGGAGGCAGGGGTTGGGCTCTTCATGGACTGAGCTGGGGTCTGGGGCTTAGATGGGGTAGGGGTCTTGGAGGGGGCTGGGGATTTGGGCGGCGCAGGCTGGGCTGCAGGCGCGGCGGTTTTAGGGTGTCCCAGTTTGGGCTCTGGGATCGGCTCCCCGTGCCTGTAGACGCTGACGGTGATCTCCACGAACTCGCCGCCGTATTTGTTCCGGACGTTGATGCTGTACTTGCCGGAGTCGTCGGGGGTGACTTTATTGATCACCAGGCTGGCGAACTTCCCGCCATCAAATGTGACCCGGGTGTGCTCATTGCATGCCACCTCTTGCTCGTTTTTGAACCAGGTGACCTCAGGAGTCGGCTCGCCGAACACGGTGCAGGTCAGGCTCAGAGACTAGACCAGAGGGAATAGTCGATTTAAACACAGACACAGAAAAATAACTCACATGTGAATCAACTAAAAACTCTCCCCTCTAAGGAATCTATCACACTGCCTTAAGTGGTTGTGGTCAAATGTCCAGCATAGCAGCGATCCGCATCAGAGGAAATGTTTGGTTAAACTGGCTGTTAAACTACAGATTAAGTTCGTTTTTAATTTCCTCTCTGGAATTTTGTGGCTGGCTTTATTTTTAGTAGATGAAAAAATAAATATTTCTGTTGGGAAAACAAAAAGAATTTATCTGAACTGAATCCAAGTTTTTTGTCATTACTCTCAGAAACACCAGGAAGTCACAATGGAAGGTGACTAAGGTCGGTGTTTCCTGCTTTTCTCTCTTAGCTTTGCAGTCGTTAGGCTGTTACAGTGACACTTCACAGGAAAACAAGGGCCTCTCTTTACAAAAAAAAAAAAAAAAAATCAGGTTTAGGGCCGTTCTGCTGCAGAACATCTTTACCAGACGCAAAAGGAATGTCTTTGTCTTGCTGTCAGGAATAATGAAAACAAAAGTTCCTTATTGACCTTTCAAACCATTTGTTTTGCACCTGAGTCTATTGAGGAATGTTATCACATAATTTTTACGACAAATTTGCTACTGCTGAGGGTTAGATCGTGGATTTAGTGAATCCTGCTCCCCAAGGGATTTTATAAAGTCGATGAAAAAATATATTTAAATAATATATAATATATATAAAGATTTGTATTAATTATAGAATAAATATGTTTTTAAAAAGGCCTCTGAAGACTTCAACTGATCTTTTGTTTCAGAGGAGCTGCAGCAGCTTACAGCCCCGGTTATCTTGTGTCTCGTTCCAGCCTCGGCTCCTCAGGAATGCTGCTGCGGCGGTTGAGCTCTGACCCTCAGCCTTCTTACTACAGAGCTGATGTAACCGTCCCGCTAAAACAAACATGGCTCTAAAGTTGATGCAGAGACTGGAAGCTTCTCACCTTCTCTTCCATAATAGTGACCACATCAGGGAGTCCACCAACCACTCTGCCACGGTCTGAGGACAAAGCACAGATATTATTCCAGGACTCGATGACTCACATAAACCCACAGTGTGGGTTTAACAAGGCGGCGATGTTTACACAGAGAAGACAGGAATAAAGAATCTCGGAGGCCATATTTATTCTCTGCAGCTGAGGCTCGAATCTTAATTAAACTTTTCTGAATGTTTAAAAAGCTTTAATGGAGGTTTTCTATTCCTCTGAGATGAATGAAAGCTTAAAAATAATAAAATCAGGAAAAATGAGAAAACCAGGTTAACATCACATTCAAGAAATTTTAAAGGGAAATGGGCTGTTCCAACCGTTGCATTTCCGAATTGTGCCGAGTTGTGCCCTACTTTACACGTGTAAATAAAATTTATTTGATTGGTCGATTATCAAGAGGGCGGGATTGCTGTGGCGGAAGGTAGCAAGCAAGTTTGGTTGTGGCGGGTTCCTTGGAAGCATCTTGCTAACCAGTTAGCAACTTAGTGCTAGTAGGTTCCCAATAGAGACTGACATTTTTTCGGGAATCCCATGGGTCACGGGATTCCCGTGGGATTCCCGTGGGATGGGAGTCAGTATTAGTAACGATCACGGGATTGGGACGGTACAGGATTAAACATTAACGGGAGCAGACGGGAGCGGGAGCAAACCAATAGTAACTTCCGCTCTGAGTTTTTCACCCGCGCTCAAAAACAACAAGAATGGGAGTGCTGCAGGAGCGGGAGTCATTCTGAAGGGGAGCGGGATGGGAGTGGGAGTAATTTCACCAGGAGTGGGACGGGACACGATTTAGATTTTTACTCTGGCTCGGGATCGGGACAGGACACCATTTTTTTCTGTGGGAGTGGGACGGGACAGGAGTGAAAATCCACTCCCGTGTCAGTCTCTAGTTCCCAATGGGAAATTCCATTGCGACCAAGTAGCACTAAATTGGTGACTTAGAAACGACACTGTCAAGGAACGCTATGGACAGCGGAAACATGCAAGAGGAGGAGAGTTTAGTCTCCTCCGTCATACATTTTTTATTTAGAGGAGGAAAGCGGGGATAAAAAGATGTTGTGGAAGAGGACGCCAGGGCTGCAGAAGCTTGGTTTGGTGTAGAAGGCTTACAGCCGTACATGTTTGAGCCCTTGCCTCGCAACGCTGCCAGTTCTGTTAGCTGTACGCCTGCTGAAGACACAGACGTCCATCCCCGTGAACACTGGGACGGAACTCAATGGGAAAGGAATTGATTCTTATTTATTATTTCAACCGTTGCGTATATTAGCTGCGATGTATGGATCAAGATTCTATGACCAAAAAATTTGATTGACAGATGACCGTTGATATATGATTGGCCGAATTTAGGTGTACAGGCTGACGTATAACTAACTGGCCTGCATAAGATAACAAAAAAAACTACAACACAGATTTTAAGAAAGGATTTTTTTTTTTTATAGAAATTTTCTAAATTTTCGGCAATATTAAAGTAAATTTATACACATGTTTAAGCCAGAATGATTTGACCGTTAAGTATGGCTTCCCTATGACTTTAAGGACTTTCCAAAGGTAATTTCCTTGACCTCAAGGACAATGTTAGGAATATTTACCTGTTGTTACCATGACGATATCATCAGATGGCTCCCAATTTATTTTATCCTAGTCTTTAGAATAATCAGAATCTGCACAAAATGTAACATTTTGATCTGTCTTAAATAATTATTCATTGAGTCGGTTCCTGGATATCTACGTTTTATTCTTGAGTCAATTTTTTAGCTACCCTACCTACCTCTAATGTCAACATAAGATCTTACTTACTCTTCTCAGCAAATGCAGCCGCCCTAAAAACAGAAAAGAAAAACAGTTTGATGAACAAAAATGGCTCAGTGTTTAGATACACATCCACAATTTAATTTTGTCAAAACAACTTACTTAAGCCTCAGATACTCCTCATATGCATCAGTGTAAGCTGCCAAAGGAAAACAAAGACATTCATTAGAGAAGAAACGGTCCAGTCCAGTTAGAAACAATAAATCCAACCCTTTCCGGACCAGTTTAAACACCGCAGCTACAGCAAGAGCTGTCAGCATAGGATGCAGCTGTTCTCATGGACATGCATTCAGAGGAGGCACAGAAAGCTTTTGGACAGCACCATCCTGCCTGTTTCAGGAGATGCTGGAATAAGAAATGCATTTTGGAAATATATCAATTAATCAGAGGGTCTACTGCAGGTGACTGATATTAAGTCTAACTAATTACTATCATAGCCCAGTTTGAAACATGAATCCTCTGTAGCTTTTGGGATGGAGAGCTAAATCCTGTTTAATGGCAGAGCTGTTAGAATTTCTCCCACACAGCCTCCTGTCCTGGAATCAACATCTAATCAGTTTTAACATCTGTGCCAACAAGGCTTTCTTCTAAATGAGATCTTCTGTCTCCCTGTAAAAATAAAGGGTTAATAATATCAAAAATAGCTCCTGCAGGTGTGTAATTTGCAGTGGTTGGAGGACGTTACACACCTAACGCCGTAATGTATCTTCAGATCTACAAATATTTTATTATTATTATTTACATATTTATTTGCTGTTTATTTATTTGCCTTAAAATAAAAATAATAGTCTGGTATTTTTCCTGCTTTTTTCCCCACCAAAATCCTGGTATCCCTCCCTTAAAGTCCCAAAAGATTTCTAAATTGGCCCTAATGTTATAAAAGAAAACTTTTAGAAGTACATATCCAGAAAAAAAAATTGTTTAGCCATAGAAAAAAAAGGCAGAGTGTTAGGAATCCAGTTTGTGTGGGTTGTGTTTTTTTTTTGTGTCTTTCTCTTCCTCCACCACCAGATGGTGCCCTCTTCTCGTTGGTCCTCTCGCACACCTGCGGCTGGTTGGTTCATCACTGAGGACTACTTAAGGACTGTCACTATCTCAACGCCAGAGTGTTTGCCAGTTTTGGGTACTCTAGCCAAGCTGAGATTAGCTGAGTCTAACTGAGTCTTTGTTTCTCTGAGTTCTAACTGTTTTTTTTTTGTCTTTGCCTATCGGCAGGAAGCCATCCTGCAAGCTGGATGTTTTTGGCCTTCTTCCCCTGGAAGGATTGTTTGAGTCTCACACTGAGCAGGGGATTAACCTCCACAAGTTCCGTTCAAGACCTCCTGGATTCCAAGTGACAGTCTGCTAAATAGTGCCTCAGGAACCAACCAAATTAAAACCTGTCTGCTCTCCAACGAGTTCCTCCCTCTGGTTAACCCACATAAGACTGGATCCTGGGAAGAAGGTTTTCTCCACTAACGTGAGTCCTATTTGCTCTGTTTCTCCAAAGTCATCGTTCAAAGTTCCCACGGACCCTGAACTACCCTGGTCTCTCTGGTTTACTGCATTTGGGTCAGATCCCTTAAGAAAATCATGACAAAGAGAAAATGCAAATAAAAGTGAAAACTACAACCTATTTCTGAGACAGGATTGACATATTTTCCTGACTTTATTTATTAGACTAAATTGTTTAAAAATAAGTTAATAGATGGTGAGACATCAAAAATTTTTGGTCCCCCCATGTTACTCGTTTTTAAATAATCTTGAGGAATTAATAAAAATAAAAAATAACATCTTGTGATACAGCAGGTGGTGCAGCTCTGGTTATATAATGTTGTTTATCCACCATACAGCTGCACAGGCAGCCCTGGTTTCATACCTTGTCCAGAGAGGTCAAATGTCCGGGTGTGGGTTGTTACCCCATCTGAGATCTCAATGGCGTAGTGACCCTTCTCCTTATCGGATGGATCGCAAATCTGCATCCAGGCCATCTCTGCAGTGCCGCCGATCCTCATCTTCTCAGAGGATGCGATCTTACTGTCCCTGCAGTTTCACACACATCACCAGCATACACTAGCAAATGAGATATTTCTAACACAAGCTGTTCAAATGAGACGAAGAGTCTGAAACTCAACATCTTTTTATTCTGAAACACAACATTTCCCTGGAAAGAAGTAAAGAAATCCTAAACAATGAGGACCAGAACACATGAATTACACTGTTATTTCGCAGAGATTAACTGCGTGCTAAAAATCGTTTCTCTTTTTCATCAGTGAAACCTTCTCTTAACCAAAACTTTGGCCTCAACAGAGCCTAGAAAACAAAGAACTGAAAATCCTTTGTATTGATCAGAAAAGAGGAAGTAATTAGAATCTCAGGTAAGAGATCAGATATAAGGGAATAATTGGGATTAAGTAAAACAAAGTTTCAATTTGAAGAGTCAAACAATCCCAAATGTTCCTTTTTTATGATGTAAATGTTGCTTAATGCTGAGATGCATATTGAATGGGATCCCTTTGTCTCTGCCATGCTCTGTCCACAGAGAGAAAACAACTTGGCCTGATTAGCAGCACGATTATGCTATTTATTCTGCAAAAAATGATCTAAACATCAGCAAAGATGTGAGAAAATAAGTGTAGCCTACATTCCCGTTATTTTAGCTGTTAAATCTGATGATCTACATATTTTCCCCTAAAAAAAAGTTAATTAAATAAAATGCACTTTGAATTTAGATAAGGGATAAAAAATAAAATAAAAAAATATATATATATTTTTTATTTATTTATTTTTTTATCCCTTATCTAAATTCAAAGTGCATTTTATATATGTATATGTATATTAAAAACATCTCTTTCCGTTGAAAAATGTCATACCTGCTCAAATCAATGGAAAATACAAACATTTCAAGAAAAATTACATATCTTTAAATTTTTAGTGTAATATATAAATGTATTACTTGTGCTTCCAGACAGTCTTCATCTCCTCTGTGTAGTAGTTCATGTAGCACTGCAGCCTGATGCCCTCTGGAGTACACTGCAGGACCAGCTCAGAGGCTGACGCACCTAAATAAAAAAATAAAAAACAAACATCTCTTCATGAATCAGGGAAAAGATTCAAAGTTTATTTCTGCTTTAAAAATGGTTCCTGTTGCTCTGTTCATGTAGAAGTTTCTAAACAGTTGGTTTCTTGTCGGCTACTGCATATAAACTCTTCTTCAATTCTTCCAACCAAAGGCTGCACAGCAAGTAAAAATGTAAAGTAATGTATCTTGTGTTACTTTATCAAAGTCGAGCATTTAAAAGGTGCAACTTTTCACTAAGTTTGTTTTTTTAATGGAGGTGGGTTGATGTGTTTCTTTAAACAAATCAAGTTCAATTATTTGGGAATTAGCAGTAAGAATAAATAAGACTGAAGATTTTTAAGGTTTATAAAAGTTTCTATATACTCTCTTCTTATTGGTGCATTGATAGGATTTAATTCTTTTAGATACTAGAGTGGAAAAGGAGCCATATTTATATCACCACCACTTCTATAAAAACATGTTTGGTATTAATTTATGACCTGAAATCTATTAATTCTGGTTTAGAAGTGGACCAATACATCAGTGAGACAATATTTTTGGCTAATACTATAGTTTTTGTGTATTAAAATCTGACGACAACTTAAAATCACATGAAGCACATGATTGCTGTTCCCTCCATGTTTTCCATCGTTAATGTTTCCTTTAAGTTGCATAACATTTGTTATATTTGCGTCATTTTAAACATGTAAATGAGAGAAGAAAACAAAACATATGCTTCAAGAATTCCTCCAAAGATATTCGCAACACATTTTTAGAAATTCGGTAAGACTGGTATCAAAATAATTGGTATCGGACTTAAAAAATCTATACTCCAATTAGCGAAAGCTGCAAAGGATGAAGAGGTTTATTCTGTTGTTAGATTCTTTTCTATTCTAATCAGAAAATACCGACTTCGAGCATTCCACAAGCAAAGATATAAGTTGGGTTTGGAGAAAGATAATGCAAAATCTCCACATAACCTCTGTGAAGTATGGTGGAGGGCCTGTGATGCTGTGGGCCCTAGTTCTGTCTCACAGCTCTGTGAGCCACAAAAAACTGATTATTCAGCAAACACTGAATGAAACAGAGTAGAATAGAATTAAATTTTATTGTCATTACACTGTCACAAGGAAAAAGCTCAATCTCTGCATTTAACCCATCACCTTGGGGAGCAGTGGGCTGCCATTGTGCATAACCTGGTGAGCAGTGTGGGGTTAAGGGTCTTGCTCAGGGACCCAGAGTGGCAATCAGGGAGTGGGGCTTGAACTCAGTACCTCTGGAACCCAAGTGCAATGCCCTAACCACTAGGCCACCGCTGTTTCCTTTAACTTGTGTACCATTGGTCATATTTTTGTCATCTTAATTGTGTAAGTGAGAGAGAAAACCAATATTTCGGCTTCAAAAATTGCAAGGCAAAAACAAACTCAGCCGATTGGAACCTACCAGCATTGCGAGCAATTGCATTGATGATGTCATCAAACACTGAAAACCAAAGAGGGAAAAAACGTAATCAGCACATTAGGATTTCTGTTCAAGTAAAATAAATGTGACTGAGTGTTTACGTCTCGAGTACCTTGGCCTGAAATGTCATAAACAGAAGTGTCCTTTCCTTTGTCATCACTCAGCACAGCCTTATAGACTCCCTGATCCTTTCTGGAGAACTTTAAAAACAGGTTGGGTCGTTTTTAAAACCTTTTTGAAACAATTTTAACAGCAATTCCATAATTAATTACACATCAGATGAATGTTTTTACCAAAGGCAGAGGAAGAGAGACGGCTCCAGACATGACATTGGGGGGAGTCTCTGGGACAATCTCATCATCTTCTTTGTACCAGTGGAAAGTTGTGTCCTTTTTCACATTAGCCACCTAAAATCACACCAGAGAAAAAAGCTTAATCTCTACAGTCCAGTTAAGCTGGGGACAGATATGATACCTGTTTTAAAAACATGTAACCTTGCAGGTGAGCATCACTGTACAGTCCTCAGAGACAGTGAAGTGCAGATACTCAGAGAAATGTGGACCTAAAACAGAAAAAAATCATAATTTCTGGCAGATGAAAGCCAACGTATAACATGTTGATTAATCTATAATCCAGTTAGAGTTCAGGCGGAGCAACAAAAAGCTTCATTTTAAAATATATTTGGCCTTTAAATGTGCTTCTACCTTGCTTCCTAATGTGCTCTTTCCTCTGAAACTCAGCCTCCTTCAGGGCAGCCTTGAATGCTAAGAAAAACAGAAAACAAAACCAAACCCCAAATATTTCTCAGAAATGAACCATGATAATTAAATTAAGTCTAATTCTGACACAGATCCTATTTCTCCACATATGTCCATTAAAATTTATCACAGCAGCTTTGCTCAGGCACCTCATTATTTCTGAAACAGTCTTACCATCTCCCACAAGGACCAGGGAGCTCTGGGTTTTGGCCTTGCCGTCAGTGATCTGGACCGTGTATGTCCCCTCATTGGCTCGGGTGAAATGATCCACTGTCATCTGGATGACCCCTGAAGCCACATCATGGCTGATCTTTTGACCCTGAGAAATAAATTCATTAATAGGCAATTTTACACTAAACAGCCTCAAAAGTCACAATAATCCCAGTTTCTTTCTCACAGCATATCTTCCCTTATGTGTTCCAATGGTGCCTTTCAGACCTGTTTTCTACACCGTGTCCCATTACAATCAACCATCTCTCAACTCATCAACCCTTTTGAAATAACCAAAATAGAAATAGCTTGTGATATGATGAGTAAGGAAACTGGGAAAGATTTCCATTGGTTTCAAATCTTGACTAAAAAAAGATTGTAATGAATGGAGGCAGGCTGACTGGCAGAAAGCTTGTGCTTTTCACTGACAATTGAACCAGTTGGTGACAAGCAGAACCGACAGGTAGCAGCCTGGAAGAGGCAGATGAAAGCAGAACCTGCCGGTGACAGGCTGAATTGGCTGATTTGAGAGCTGAGAAGGCATGCAATGACTGAACAGAGGGGAAGGGGATAAATGTCAAAACAGCCACTTCAAATCTGTAAACATTTCTAGGTATCTAAGCTTAATTATTATAAATATAGTTTTTTTCTTTTACTTTCTGAAATTGAATTTCTTCTGCAAAAAATGTAATTTAGAAAATCCATTATTACAGTTCCAACTACACTGCAAAAACGATCTAGAAATAAGCAAAAAATTCTTAAATTAAGTGTATTCACCCTTAATTTGAGTAGGTAAATGAGATAGTTTGCCAATGGAATGAGTAATTTTACTCTTAAAATAAGATCATTAGATAATATGCACTTGAAATAAGACAATGCAATTGTGTTTTCTTATTTTAAGTGTAAATTGTCTTGTTCCATTGGCAAAATGTCTCTTTTACCTCCTCAATTCAAGAACAAATGCACTTATTTTAAGAAAAAATTACTTATCTAGATTTAGATTTTTTGCAGTGTAGGAGTGTGATTTCAACCAGGAAGAATCTTATTTTAGTGATCTTCAAATGGAACAACACAGAGGAGAGTGCTTTTAATAAATGCTAAAACAGCCTGCCATACCAGAATGCATATAAACTTGCACATTAACCGGAGTAGCAATCTTCTCCCTTACCAACTTCTTCTCCTTTGCAGCTGTAGCGCTATTGCTCTATTAAACACATTCTCCATATGTGTATTTTTTTCATCTATGCATTAAAATCTCTAGTTTAGTGGGGTGAAATAGTCACTTCCTGTTGTCTGTTGTCATGGTTACTTGTCTAAACAGTGTAATGGCTTTACATACTTGTTAAGCACGTGTTCAACTCTGAGTGGACCTACTATATGTAGCCCATATATCTGCTCTAGAACCCCTTTCATTTCTGTTACATCATAACCATTGCTGCAAACAAAAGGTGGTGGAAATGAAAACAAATGGTAAAGAAGCAAAGACACAGGCCTATAATCACACCTCTGAATGTGATGCAATGTGGACAGTGTTAGAGGTTTGCAACCAAAAGGAAATGCAGCTTACTGCTGTAGATGAGGAGGATGAGGAGGAGGATACATTTCATAGAGACTCCCAGGCTGTTTCTCAATTCACAAGAGCACAGATTCGTGTTCTCACCAAATATGTTCTTGGCAACACAGGAATATATGGACTTGGGGAGAACGGGGACACATAGTATAAATCTAGGTCAATTAGAACAGAAGGGTACTTGTGAGGTCACCACACTATCGTCAGGAGCTGCATTTCACCTCCCGTTACTAACAGTCTCTAGATAATAATAAATTCTTACTTTTTTCATTTATTGGGGAAATAATAATAAACAGAGTCAGATAAACACAAATCAAATGAACATTTTACCAAATAAAATAAAAAAAATTGCTATCAGAGCCAGCTGTACTTCACACATGGCTATGCAGAGAGAGAGCTGCTGCAGATGGGATAGCCTTGGCTGCGGTTAGCCTCGGAGGTCCGCTGGTTGCCGCGATCCTCTCAACCTCAGAATTTTTTTTTTTCTAAATACGCACTAAATCAGTAAATGGGCCGTATAGTGATGCTTAAAAGTATAATTTTCTTGCCTCAAATGATATTAAAACGTGCTTTTATAGAACAACGGCAACAGAAAAGAGAACTTTTAACTTGGTTCTCTGAGCTCTGTGATCCCTCCCTTGGAGACTGCTGATGACGCAATGCATGCTGGGACAGCTGTCAATCTTAAAAGCGGAAGAGTCTGTGCTGATGCATGCTGGGTGAAGAAGTAGAGGCGAGAACAACAGCTGGGGACTTTGTTCGTTCTCGGTCTTGTGTTCTTGTGAATTGGAACAGCACTAGGGCTGAGGCTGATGACGTTTCACGAGCAAAGTGGACATGAGAACACACAAGTACACATATTGAGCAATGGCCGCAGTCTCAGATTATTACATAGAAATCTAAGCAAACCAGAGAGAAGAGGAGGGTCATTTTTGCAGCAAAACCTTACTATGGTCATTCAAACTGAGCAACAGATACCAGAAAGCACTTCTGCACATTTGCACATTTGCATATCATCTGATTCTGGTGTATCTGAGGTGTTACTTGTGTATGGCATTATACCTCGCCACTGGTGACCTCCTTGTCATTGACGATGAACCTGTAGGAGACGGATGGAGACAGCTTGACGGCCTGCAGCCAGAAACGAACATGTCCCTTCTCCAGAATCTCATAGTTCAGGTTGTGTTTCAGCGGAACCACTGCACAGAGACAAACACAAGACAAACACTCTGACATTTGGTCACCAAGAAAAAAAGACACAACAGGTGATGCCAATGTTTACCTGGGTGCCTGATGGCATAGCTGAGTTCAAGCATCGTGTTCAGAGCTAGAGAAAGGATCCAATGACACAACCAGAACATCAGCGTCAGCAAAAAAAGAGTCTGAAATGTTCAGAAGGTTCTGAAGGTCATGACGTACCGTCCTCAGTCAGAGTGTGGCTGGAGGAAACCCCATCTGTGTCGGTGACGACCACAGAGTATCTGCCCAAATCCTCCTTATCAGGGTTGGTGAAGGTAAGTCTGGATCTGTGAGTCACACAACCATCATATCACTGTCAAGGAACTGCTCTCACTCTCATAAATATGTCCAAACTACTATATTCTTGGTCCGACCACTAAGTTTATTACATGTATGCATGCTTTTAAACAACTATTTCATCCAAAAAATGCAAACTGGAGAGGGAGCAAAGCTGAAAACCGCTGTTAGGAGTTGATCCTCCAACTTCTGCAGGGTAGCTCTTATTTGCTGGTATTCTGTCAGTTTTCTAAAGTTCTGTTTTGTTTTCGATTCCTTTCAATTTTAGAAAAAGCTAACAGAAGAAACAAACAGGTTTTGCAACACCTAATGTTGCATCAACCTTTAAAGTCTTTCACCTGGAACCCTAAGTTACTGTAAAACATTGATTTTCTCAGGAGGAATGTTCTAACTAATATGACATTTAAATTGTCAGTATATTAACGATAAACTGACAAAAGTAGAGTCAAATTTATGCAACGCGATATGACAACCCTAAAGATTAGAAATAGAATTCATAGTCTTTTCAGAACTACTTTTTGTGGTTTATGGGGGAGAAATGATAAACCAAAAAGTCTCTGCAGCCGTTTCTCTTATATCGATGAACAGAGGTTTAAATTCTTGCCAATGCTACTTAGCCCCACCTACTTCCTTCATTGTGCATTCATTCATTGTTTGGCTGTGACTCCATCCTGGAGAGAACATCAGCTGTGCTGCTGCCATCAACTCCTTTTTGCATTGATGTTTGAGCTTGGCCTGTTTTTCAGTGTGGTCGTAGCCTGATAAACCAGACTAAATGTGAGATTAAATGTGTAATTTAGTCTGGGCCCGATTATTGAGACATCAGAAGATTGTTGATAAGAACAACCCGTAGTTTTTCAAACCATGTCTGTGCCTATTGGCCAACGCTCTGACCAATGAGCGCAACTGACTGTGACGTAGTAAGCGCGACAGAAAGCTGGTGGGGGAGTGTAAACAAACAGCTTGTCAGTAAAACGGCGAATACGTTCTTGAAAATGAATGAGCGTAGAGCCTCTTCCTGCTCACAACTCAACGAAAACCCCAAGTCTAATCCTTCCAAAACTGATTCCAAATCTGAGTCAAATGAGAACTGTTCAACAGTTGTCGTCAAGTTCCTTGTTGTGCTTTCTCCAGCGTCGCCCCCTCAAAACCCCGCCCGCTTTGCATCCAAAAATTCAAAACACATCTCTGTGTTGTGATTGGCCAGCAAGTTCTAGGGCCTGGGGCATTGATCGAGGCTAGACCAGTCGCAGGTAAAAAATAATTTTGGCCGCTGGCGGTGGGGCTAGTTTACTAGACTAGTGTGGTCCTGTTTCTCTGACTGTGACTAACTGGATGTGCTCTCTTCATCCTCTGACATGAGAGCTGGCTTGGAGCTCATCTGCCTGGCTGTGTGTTTCCTGGACACATTCATTGTTTTTTGCTCCCAGCTGTTAAAGAGGTAATCTCAAAACAAATAGTTTCTCAGCTGAAAGCAGAGACCTTTCAAATAATATTTGTTCTTCCATCCACTTTGTTTTCTGAATATTTAATGATAAATACCCTGTCACTGTTTATCTACAGTACACCCTTTACAGTAGTAGATATAAAAGCCTTACTGGGATTATGGCAATAAAACTTACCAGAAATGTAATTTTTTTAAAATCTGTAATCTGTTGCAACTCATGATTTTTTGAATAATATAGGGATGGGTGGCTTTGACTTCAGGATGTACTCTGAATACTTTTGCAATTTAATAAATCTGTAATAAACATGACCAGAAAAACAAATCCAAACCTTATTTTGTCCTTATTCTGTCACTAGAATTAGTCAGAGTCCAATAGAACCTATTTATAACACAATAGGCTCCTTAAATACAGCGGCTGCATAACTTAGCGCCTTTTCATCAATAACCAGAACATTAACCATTAACGCCACTGAGACACATTTTTAATAATTGTGTAATTTCTTTAAATATGTTTATCAGCTTGCATTTTTATACTTTTTTCTCCTTGACTTGTTTTTTGAAGAGTCCGAGAAACAGACTCTCCATGTAGTTTAGGTTTGCATGGAGGAAGCAGGTTGCTTACCAAAAGTTCTGGTTACTTTAAAGGCACACTATGCAACATTTTTCAGTTAATTCATGTGTTCCATAACGTTATGGATGATTAAATGAGTCATTTCAGGTTGAACAAAGGTATTCTCGGCCGCCCTGGTGGTCTGTGGGGGAAATACTGCACTTGCAATTGCAGGAGCACCGACCCGCACCCACAGGCTCAGAAGTCAGAAGTCTCATGAGAGTCAGTCTTGCTTTACGGCGAGAACTGCTACACCCCCCATTTAAAAGCATGCTCGTTGCTAGCACAGTGGCAATCTTTGTGCAGTAATGCTACGTTCACATCGGACGCAGCAAAAGCGGCAAAATCGCATCTGCTGCTTCATTTTTGCTGCTTGTACCAATTAGTTCTGACGCGCGGCTGAAGCAGCTTTGCTGCTCTGGCTGCGCGGTGCAAAAGTGTGTCTGAGGCGCGTTGGGCGGAGCTTCACTAACCTTTCTCTGCCTCGCAGCTATATTTGCTGTGATCAGTGGGAATAAAGTAGTTTTAATATGTGTTTAAGTGAGAAAATACACCTGAAAACGTAATCAGTGCAGTCAGTTCATTCAGATTATTATCCTGCCTTCAATATTTTTTCTGTCGGAGCCGCTCAGACCCCCACATACCAGGGATGCGCCGACAGTATGGATCCCTTCATCAGCAGCAGTTCACCGCAGCAGCTGGTAGGTGTTTTTCATCTAAATAATCCAAACTGCATATTCTGCCGGCAGATTTCTGCATTTTAAGTTAATTTAGGCGTCAATAAACTGTTTAAGAGGAGTGATCATCAGCGCTGTGTCTCTCTCCCTGCGTTAAACGCGCCCGACGCGCTGCTTCAGCTGCTCAGACGTGCTGCGCCTGCTGCTCAAAACGCGCCGCTGGACCTTTTGCTGCGCCTTGACGCGCGTCAACCATTGACTTTGCATGTAAACTCGCTGCTTCTGTCGCGCCAGCTACGTCCAGTGTGAACGCAGCATTAGTCATTCGCTGCTAAGCTCAAAACAACCGCGCCTGGCTTGACGGAGAAACCAGGAGAACAGCTGAGCATCTTTACAACAGTGCACTTTTACTTTCGCCCTCTGGGGGGAGCCTCGCTGGAAAATCAACACCGGTTGCAAAGTGTACCTTTAAGTATTGAGCGAGCTGCACATGTTTTAAAGCCCCCCAGCTGGAAGACAGCAGGCTTACTTACATTCTGCCCTTGGTTGTGACGTTGACCCTGGGGCAATCACCGATGGCTTTGTAGTTCTTTGACCACACAAACTTGGAGGTTTCACAGATCTCACAGGCCTCAAATGACAGGAAAACATCTCCAGTCTCCTCGTCCACACCGGCTACTATCTCTGTTGTTCCTGTCAATGCAAATAAACATGTTAACAGTTTTTTTTTCACATTTATCAATTTTTCCTTTGTTATTTATTTTCTAAATATTTGATTTTGTCTTACAAAGTCAATGCTGTGGTATAAAAAGGACATTATTTTAAAATAATTCATTTACTGTTGACTAGATCCTAGATATGACTACAAAAACTTAACAGTGAACGGAAAAGATCTAAAGATCTGCAAACCAAAAAAAACAAAACAAATCTTCTGCACCAGATTTCCCAGATGCGTCAAGTGGGAGATAATGATGATGCAGAGCAGAGAAACAGCAGCAACAGAGAAGAAGGAATTTAAATGAACTGTTTGTGCCGCTACCATTAAAAAGAGAAGAGGTCATGAAAGGTGAACCAAAGCGCCCCAAAGCGAACCATTTAAAAGAGAAATCAGATTAGGTCAGGTCAGAAGTTATTCAAAGGGTTTGACTGCTGAAAAGGCTAGAAAATAGATTTTATATTCCATATTTTGACAAAATCAAAGGAAATTGGGGTTCATGGTGATGTGGTTCTTAGCAGTTCTGCTCTGCAGCTTGTACGTCCTTGTTTTTTTCCTGGACCCAGAGTTTTCTGAAGAGGTTTCTGCTGACTGCATCTAACATAAGTGATGTAACAGCAGCGCTGCTTTGGTGTTACCTGGAAGAGCTCTGGCACAGACCGGCTCAGACAGCTCAGAAGCTTCACCGACACCGTTTGAGTTGACTGCACGGACTCTAAAGACGTAGGTACTCCCTTCCTCCAGTCCGGTGACCTGCAGCGAACCAGGGGAATGCAGCAGCATCACGTGCAGAGTTGGCTCAAGGTGCAACTTAAACTAGCATATCACAGATAACTGATCAGGTCTCCTACCTGCAGGTAACGATGACTCACTGGCTCCTCGTTCAGAGTTACAAACTCACTGGAACCCTTCTTGGCCATGTCCACAAAGTATCCGGTGACAGCACTGGCTCCAGTATAAACAGGAGCTTTCCATAGGACGACCAGAGAGTTACTTCTGACCTCACTGAAGCCCAGGTCATAGGCTGGACCTTAATCGACAGAAATGTGAAGTTAGGAAGCTGAGACAGCGGCATTTATTGCAAGAGAAAAAGTTCAAATTTATTTAACGTCCTCAGACAGAGTAATAGGGCTCTGACTGATGCATTTCTGTAAATAAATTCATACCTTGCAAAAACACACACACACCCTCCCCCCAGGGGAACCAACCCACCCCCTACAAAAATAACTTTCTAACAGTTGAACATTTGGAGGAAGAACAACTTGAGTTCATCAAAGCCATTCGCTGTTAGGTTAAAATGTATTTCACTGGCCAAATGGATCTCCTCAAAAAAACAGTCCTCCCCTTCATACCATGAAGGAGGCTGTGTAACTCATTCTTCTCTCTCATGACATTCGTTTGAAGCCTGTGAGGCTAAGAACAGAAATACCTCAACATTTTTTAATCCACAGAACAAATATATCTGCTCAGAAACGCAGAACTCAAGGACCAACAGCTTCTTTCAGTCAATCATATATTAAACATCTAACAGATGAAAGCAAGTATTTCCATTTTTATTCTATTGTGGTCTATAAGCATTGCTTTTTAATGTTCTTTAGGTCTAGATTTTGCCATATATATCCTTTTTCCTTTTTTCCTGTTTTTATTTTTTCCTGTTTGGATTTTTTTTTTCATGATTTGAATTTTCTTCTTGCATTTTCTCTAACTAAGTATCATATCAAATTTCATGTTTAGTATGTTTTCCCATTTTCTTTTCCTGCAAAAAGTAATCAGTCAGATCCTGTTCACCTCCTGTCATGACTGCCTTCTGTTTTTAGCCTTTGTTTTCCCCTGTCACCTCACCGTCTATGTGCTAATCAGTTTGATTTCAGCTTTCTATTCTGCTTGGAACCCATATGTTGATGTTACCTTGTTCTAATAATTAAAACTTTTCAGCTGTTCTGTCTGTCTTTATGTGCGTTTGTCCTATAACCCCTCCTAACAGTCTAGGCATATTAGCTGACAAATCATTTGTTGTTAGATGTCCTCAGATTTAAATGAGAACATTAAATAACTAATAATCTGGTGGAGTATGGAGTACATTTAGTTCCTTTATTGTTACAAGCAAAGAACCTGTTTAGTAAATTTTAAAAAGATTAAAAAGAAGTGATAATTGGTAATCAAAAAAAGTTTTGAGAGTAACATTACTGTTGTCTTAAATTTTAATTTAAAACAATTTTGTACAGACTTTATATTTTACAATTGTATTTTTCATGTATCTTCCTTCTCTTCAATTCAAGCCCAAGAAAAACACTCACTCCAATAGAAATGTTCTGGCTAACATCCATGCAGACCAATGAAAATGTGTCTTTGCTCCTCGCTACAGAGAAATGAACGTATAAAAACTTATAAATGAACAATATAAAAAGAATGCAAGTTTTAAAACTAAATCTGACCAAAAGAAATTTAAAAAACTAAAACAAAAAAAATTGAAACTTGTAAAAAATACATAAAAAAAGAAGAAGAAATCAGAAAGAAACAGCAAAGTTACTGTAAAAACCTTTTTTCTAATTAAGAGCTGTTACAAAGTCTAATTGCTTTTCTTTTTACCTCACATTTCCATTCACAAATCGGGTTGTTTGCCTGCAACAGATAATGGAACAAAATCCCCTTCATAGTGGAGCTACTTCTAGGTTGGTGAACAAGGACTGCAATAGAGACCAAAGAGCCTCCAGCTCATATCAGGACTGAGTCTGAAGATGGAAAAGAGGGAGATTTCTTCTCTAACCATCATTTCAAATAGAACCTGTAAATATTAACCCAAAAGTTACAATCATATCCCTGTATTTACATCACAATTTTAAACATGAGCAGTTATTATCTAGTTCACTGATTTCTAAAACATGGAATAAGAAGGTTGTCTTTTTCAGACGCCCTGAATCTTAGTAACTGTCAGTGTTTTGAAATAATTGACTGAACCAAAGCTGAATATTCCCTAATTAAAAACCTTGGGGGATATGAGGCTGTACTGTACCTGGCACCTCCATGGTCCAAGCTTCACATTTCATCGGGGTACTGGGAGCTGAAGGTAGACCAACACCTGCTAGATTACCAGCCTGGATCCTGAACTCGTAAAAAGTTCCCTCTGTTAGATGGTCCACCTAAAACACAAACACAGCTTGACTCTCGGGTATTTATTTTACAGTAGAAATATATTTGGGATTCTTTCGAGTTAAAGAGCTCTGCGTAATCAGAGAACTCACAGTACAGGTCCTTTCAGTGACGGCGGCCAGGTTGACCTCCTTCCACACCAAAGTATCAGCGTCACGCTTGTCGATGTAATAAGCGTTGATCTTGGAGCCGCCACAGTGTTTGGGACTCTTCCAGGCCAAAGTCATGGAGGAGCCGTCGCAGCTCAGCATGGTGATACCGAACGGTGCACTGGGAGTGGCTGGAAGTTTCAAAGAGTTCTACATGTTCCAGTTTGAACTTCATACATGTGAAAAACTACAGCAGACAACAGATATTGCGGTCAGATATGCATTATGGCTGAAAACCTTTTGTCATCTATTATTGAAGACAATTTAAGTGCAAAGACTAAAGCCTGGGTTATGCTTGAAGCGTCTGCAAGGCCAAATTACATCATTTTATCTTTAATGCCATTCAGATGGTGTCAACAGAGAGGTCAACAGCTTGAATTTCTACAACGAGCACTTTTGAAAAAAGTGGCTTTATCTGAAATCATAAAATTGTTGCTTCTATCTGCTGTTCCTAGCATTCTTATTTCCTCACCTTTTGTGAGGCCAACAGTTAGAACGCAATTCAGGGTTGGAAAGGAGATCTGGACAGCTGGTATGAATCCAGCCTTTGATTTCATGAATGTCATCATGTTACAGACACGCACATTGATGAGCTAGTAATTTTGGGACTACAACCTTTCTAGAAAAGAACTGCAAAAAAAATTTAAGTTATATAAATGTATGGAATGGCTGAAACTCTCCATTAAGAAACCACAACATACAAAGATGTTTACATCAGCCTGTCTTTTACTAAGTACAAGTGATTTAACAATTTATTGTTTAAATCTTTGAGGTGGGCTGTGCCGGTACTTCCTGTCACGCAAAGGATTGTGGGCAACCCTCCTGATCCAAATGGCAGCTAGGAACACCAGGATATCCCTATGCTAACTGCATTGTATCTAGGAAGCATACCACTCCCTGGTCCTAGCTCCTTTCTAACTTCTATCACTGTTCAGATATCACTTATGGTGACCTTGGATGTTTTTCCTCCATGGCTTTAGTGTCCTTACAAATTTTAGGTATTTGGATTCAGCCTTTATATTATGTGGACAGCTCCATGTGGAAAAACATGGTTGACATGAATATGACGACTAAAGAGGTGGATGATACTGATACCAAGAAGATACAGGGTCAGTATTACCAATACCTGTACCGATACCATACTTTATACTTATTTAAGCCAGATGTACCATTGTTAGAAATATTTTATTTATACTCTTACCTTGTTTGTGTTTCATGGGTTGTGTTCTAATGAACTATTATGATGTATAATGTGTGACTAATCTTTTATTAACTCTTGCTTAAGATTGTTCCAGATAAAGGTCATGCAACGGACGGGTTGTGAAAGAGGCCTGAACATCCTCTATCACATGCTGAGTTGTAAAAGAGACCTGAACAGCCTCTATCACATGTTTCTTCTAAACATGTGTTCTTGGAACAATTCAATTGTAAAACAACCACATTTTTTGTTTTAACGTATGTGCTGAGGTTTAAAGTAAGATCATTTTGTTTCCCTTTCCCTTAGTTAAACCTCAGCTGATGTAATTAGGGACATCTCCTTTTCTTCAATAAATGGCGAGGAGAAAGCTGAAGACTGCAGAGTGGGGTGGAGATTGTAAACTCTGCAGTCTCTTCCTACTCTCCTCGCAAGTAACTACACTCACCGGCCACTTTATTAGGTACCCCATGCTAGTGTAACCCACAGCACATAAGGCCCTACTTCCGGGTTCAATCTGAGTAGTGCGCCCTGTCCCTTTAAAAAGGGGCGGATCCCTGACCCAAACAGATTGCTCCACAGATGCTACAGCCAACGCTGCTCCTCGCTGTGGCTTCTCTGTTTTTGAAAAAAAACCCGCCTGGAACTGCACAGCTGCTTAATTTACTCTGATGCCTTCACCATAGATCACTTTAGCTTCTTACAACTCGGTAAGTGTGTTTTCATCTATTGACTCATGCTTGATTGTTCATTCAAACTTACTGATAACTTAAATAATACCGCAGATTTACAACTCATAACCTGGTGGACATTACCTATATGCTCTCTCAAATCATCTACTCATCGGTGAGTTAAAGTATATTATTTTTATTCCTTATTTTGAGTTTGTGATGCTGCAGTACACCGATTGCATGCTATGCTAACATGGGTAGTTAATATAGCTCCCAGACACGCCCACAGCTTCACTCAGACTTTTATTTATTTTTTTTTATTAATTCAGAGGGAAACTTTTCCCCAACCAAGAAGCAGTAAGATTTTTTTCCCAAGCAGTAAATGTATTGGTCATACATTATTTTATGCTTTGGGTTAACTATAGAACTTTGTTTGGAACTTTTCCAGCCTTAGAAGCCATGGTTCTTTTTTGTTTAAATAGATTTGATTGTTTATTGATATGTGTTGCGCAATACAATTAAAATGGAACTGTTGAAATAATTTGGGTTTTTGTTGACCCATGATTTCATCTTTGAATAAGTGCACTTTAATTTAACTTGAGATATTTAGAAACATTGAAGCTTCATAAAGAAATCTTGTTTATTATTTAAATTATTTGTGTCTTAGTGCTGTGATTTACTGCATAACTAACTGACTTATTGTTTTTATTTATTGCTAAGATTAAATGTATTGTTTATTATTTTACTAATTTATGATTCTGGCCTGATTTCTGGTCAGGTTTTTTGTTGTGTGCTGTTCCTTTGACTGTCCATTGGGTGGCGAGCTACCAAGAGAACCACCGATACAGTGTGGTAGGAAAAATTTCTCACAAACCTGGATCCTCTGATTTTGTTTTCCCAATGGACCTCATGAACTGTGAACCTTTTACTAATTGAACTGAAGAGTTTAATTTCTTTTTTTGCTCTTTTGAATTATCCTGTTGGAATATATTTGGTTTTTTTTGTTTAGTTTTTTTTCCTTTGAAATTATATTGGTTATCACATTTGTGTGTATATTCTATTAATTCATATCCATATAAATTATATAATATAGCTCATTAACATGTATATGTAACCCATACTCTTTCTATTAGAAAATAAATATACAACTATTAATCATAATTTTCTTTTTATGTGCTTATACACACCCCTTGACTCTACAGCCGAATCTTCTTCTGAGCTCATTTTTCAGTCAGCCAAGCCCAAGTGTTACACTAGTAACGGGTTGGACCCCCTTTTGCCTTCAGAACTGCCTCCATTCTTCGTGGCATAGATTCAACAAGGTGCTGGAAGCATTCCTCAGGGAGTTTGGTCCATATTGACATGATGGCATCACACAGTCGCCGCAGATTTGTCGGCTGCACATCCATGATGCGAATCTCCCGTTCCACCACATCCCAAAGATGCTCTATTGGATTGAGATCTGGTGACTGTGGAGGCCATTTGAGTACAGTGAACTCATTGTCATGTTCAAGAAACCAGTCTAAGATAATTCCAGCTTTATGACATGGCACATTATCCTGCTGAAAGTAGCCATCAGAAGTTGGGTACATTGTGGTCATAAAGGGATGGACATGGTCAGCAACAATACTCAGGTAGGCTGTGGCGTTGCAACGATGCTCAATTGGTACCAAGGGGCCCAAAGAGTGCCAAGAAAATATTCCCTACACCATGACACCACCAGCCTGAACCGTTGATACAAGGCAGGATGGATCCATGCTTTCATGTTGTAGACGCCAAATTCTGACCCTACCATCCGAATGTCGCAGCAGAAATCGAGACTCATCAGACCAGGCAACGTTTTTCCAATCTTCTATTGTCCAATTTCGATGAGCTTGTGCAAATTGTAGCCTCAGTTTCCTGTTCTTAGCTGAAAGGAGTGGCACCCGGTGTGGTCTTCTGCTGCTGTAGCCCATCTGCCTCAAAGTTCAACGTACTGCGCATTCAGAGATGCTCTTCTGCCCACCTTGGTTGTAACGGCTGGTTATTTGAGTCACTGTTGCCCTTCTATCAGCTCGAACCCGTCTGGCCATTCTCCTCTGACCTCTGGCATCAACAAGGCATTTCCGCCCACAGAACTGCCGCTCACTGGATGTTTTTTCTTTTTCGGACCATTCTTTGTAAACCCTAGAGATGGTTGTGCGTGAAAATCCCAGTAGATCAGCAGTTTCTGAAATGCCAACAATCATGCCACGTTCGAAGTCACTCAAATCACCTTTCATCCCCATACTGATGCTCAGTTTGAACTGCAGGAGATTGTCTTGACCATGCCTAAATGCACTGAGTTGCCGCCATGTGATTGGCTGCTTAGAAATTAAGTGTTAACGAGCAGTTGGACAAGTGTACCTAATAAAGTGGCCGGTGAGTGTAAATTTATTGTCTCTGTGCCTTCTTTCTTTCCCTGTATGTATAATGTTTTAGGTGCTTAGACCTTACATTATGGAGCCTTTTGGGTTTTTGTGATTTTTTATTTATTCCAAAAAAGTTAAAAATTTAAACAAAAAACAGACTACTGGACTTTGTTTTCCAAGTATGTAGACGTTTCTCTTCCCATCCAGGAAACTTTCTCAATTCAAAATGTCTGGATTGGCGTTGAGTTCCAGGCTTTATAGAGTAGCTCAACAAAGCCTTGTTATGGCTTAGAAAAAATGCAAAATGAACGGAAAAAACAGGTCCGTCCCTTAGTAACAGAGTCAACAGCTCCCCATTATTACCCAGCAAAGTCCAGTGGTTTGTTTTTTTTTACTTTTTTGAAATGACTATGACCTGGATGACTGAGAATGTTCACCAACTTTTTGCTTTATTATTTCAACTAAACAATGGAAAATTGACAAAAGTTTCAAAGCCATTTAAAACGAAATCTATAAATTAATAAAAACTAAATTAGGACACCATGACAAATACTGGTTGGGCTGCTACTGCTGAGCCATGTGATGGTGCAAGACGGTAGCGAGAGAGGGGAGGGGAAGTGGGTGTTTTCTATTTCTACATGTTGTAAGGTGGTGGTTTGTGTTGCATACGCCTACCGAGGTTCGGCCTGAATATTAGGTACAGGAGAAAAAAGTTGTCTCTGTGCATTTATTCCTAAAACTAAATGTGTTTCAGAGGGAAAACGGTGCTTCTGTGCACAGTTAGGGTGAGGAGAACAAAGAGGCAGCGGAGAGTAAGTACAGTTGGACGTTATCATATTTTAATACATACCATATTCCACTGCCTTCCCTGGACAAAATAATGAAATGAGACACACTGAGGATAGACAGCAGTTAACTGATCATCTTTAGAAACACCTCTAACTTATCATTTCTGTCAAACTCACCAGAAATTGTTTGAAATGTTTATTTTATAAGCCTTGTTATGGCACGTGATAAGTATGACTGATTCCTGACTGCGGGCATCCTCTTACCCAGAGCAGGCTCCACAGCGATGGGAGAGGACTCCTGGGACTCTTCACTTAGGCCAAAAATGTTGACGGCTTGGACGCGGAACACGTAGCTCTCCCCTGGGATAAGGCGGTGGACCACAAACCTGAAACACATTTAGGCAATTTAACTCTAAATAAACTGCAAAAATCAGTAGAACTTCTTTCAATTCAAAATATATCTTCTGATATTTTTTTTTATTCTTGCATCATGCAGGTTAATTCTAAAGAAAAACCTCAGGATATTTCTTTTCTTTGATAGTTTATTGTAATATAAGTGAATGTGAATCTGCTGCTGCCATCAACGCCTTTGTTTATAGATGTTCGAGATCTGCCTGTTTTCCAGTGTAGTCCTGTTTCTCTGACTGTGATTAACCGGATGTTCTCTCTTCATCCTCTGACATGGGAGCTGGCTCGGAGCTCGTCTGCCTGGCTGTGTGTTTCCTGGACAGTGCCGCCTTTTACAGCTGCTTTTTGTATCTCTGCTTCTGTCTCCTTGAACCCCAGTCGGCCTCAGCAGATGGCCGCTCACACTGAGCCTGGTTCTGCTGGAGTTTTCTTCCTGTTAAAAGGAAGATTTTCCTCTCCACTGTCGCTACAAGCATGCTTATTGTGAGGATTTCCTTTGAGTCGATGCAATCAACTTGTTTTCCTTAGATAGAAAACTTTGAATCAATTTGACTGTAGGTGAACTGTAAAGGGCCTTGAGTGGAATTGAGTTGAATGTGTGTGTGGACACAATAAATGTATTTTTTTTTATAGGATGAATAACTAACAGGTTGTGTAAAGATATCTGCTTTTTGTTTTATTCCCTGTATTCTAAGTATTATTCCATTAGTCTCAAGTTAGAATAGCTGTATTCTAATTGCAGCTAATTGGAGACTTTTATAAAAGAAAAGGAAAAATATAAACAATCATTGGTTAATTAAGAGCAGCTAAAAGAAAACCATCTCACGTCTTCTGATCTATAATGTCATTTGAGAAATACTTTAGATATAAGGGGATGAACCAGGAAATTGAGCTAATTGTTCCAGCATTTATTTTCTCTTGTTCAGACGTTCACACGTTTAATTATTAGCATCACTCTTGTTTTATCATGTTTTCTTTGGTGGTTTATCTGTTCATTTCAGAATTCGTGGGAAGAACCTTAGCTTGTAGGGCCCTGCATGATGAAGCTTCTTCCAAGGAGTTTAAACCACAAACTCAAACCCTCAGGTCCTTAAACTTTATTCTACTGGTTCAGAGCCAATGAGGATCACTCTTTCCTGACTGAACAAGCTTCAAAGGTTTTTATGTTGTCTTGAAATGTATTAAAAACTTGAGACTCTTTTTCTTTTTGTCATCAGTATAAATTGCAATAACTTAAATCTGGATGTTTTAAGTTATTTTATATGTTCATTGTCTTGTAATCATATTTAGATTTAATTCTAATTGGCTGATTTAAAGTTAATGAGCTAGTTTCGCTCCTCCCTCGCTCTGCTAATCTAACTCTGACAGAAACAAAGACCCAAACGACTTAAAAGACGCAACAAGAACTTTGTTCCGACTCTCTCATTTTCTAAACAACATCCTAAGATGTGATCGTTTGCTGGTAAAATTTTATTTTTAATTTAGTGTTGTATTTATCTACATGGTGTCTAAGGTACTTTGTTGTTTTGTTTTTAGATAATGTATTTGTTTTTAATCTTACTGTATTTATATCCTGTATATCCTTATTTATGTTTACATCTTTACTTCAAATCATTTTTCTGGTTATTAAACAGTGACATACAAATAAATCTGGATACCTAAAAACCTCAAAGACATAACTTCATCAGGAGAGATTTGGTCTTAACACATCATTGTGGTACTGTTTAACCTTTCTCTTGACATTCACACCATAGATCTGAAATATGAAATATGAAACGAAAAATATTTTGAAGAAAAGAAAATTAGAAAAATCCAATACAGAAAGAAAAGGAAAAACTTTGAAAAGGTCAAGTTTACTCTTTTGAAGAGTAAACTTGCTGTTTTCCCTCTCTGATTTTTTGTTTGTTTTTTTACCTTTTATTCTTTTGAATATTTTTCCAGTTTTTGTTTTACATACTACATTATTTTAAGTTGCCTTTCATGGATGTAAGCAACAATTCAGTTTATTTATATAGCACCAGTTCACAACACATGTAATTACACCAGAGCATACAGTCAGATTGGTTCAAAGTTTTCTTCTAAGGAAACAATATTTTTATTGTTAAGTGTTACTGTCTGCTCTGTTTTGGATTTTTTTGTTCTTAGGTTTCACTTTGAGCTTCAGTTACTGTTAGGTTTATGTTCTCTGTTTTTAAGATTTATCTATTGATAAATATCCTAGTTTACTTTTTCTTTGTGTTTTTCAGTTACCGGTATATGTTTTTCATAAATTATAAAAAAATATATAAAAAATATCTGAGAAAATATAAAATTTACTCTCAAAATGTCATGATTTTGGCTCTGATAACTGGCCTGTTTGCTCATTTCATTCACCTGTCTAGCTCTGCCCTGTTCCTCGTCAATCGTCAGTCCCACCTTTTCCGGTTTCCTATTTAAGCTGCCTGTTTCCCAGCCATCGGTGCCAGATTATTCTTAAGCCTTTGGTGTTGAGAGTTCTTTAGGGTTACTATAGTGTTCTGATTGTCTGATCCTGATCTGTCTCTTTATTCAACATATTCTCTATCAGTTCGTATGAAATTGTACGAAAAGTTATGCACACTATTTTGTACGTTTTGGACGTTTTTCCTCAAAAAAACAGATCAGTGCGCATGCGCAGGCAGCCAGACAAAAAAAGCAGATCCGCGGACGGACGTAAAAATGGGAAAAACAGTGCAATAATTACTTCTTTATGTCTCTAACTACGTTGCTTGCTGTTTTATACCTTAGGGTTAGGGTCAGGGTTAGGGTTAATTGTATGTTAAATTAGAAGTTATTAAATGGTGCGTAAGATGCGCATGCGCATACGACAAAAAAAAAAACGTACGAAATTACGGTGCATAACTTTTCGTACGATTTCATACGAACTCATAATGAGAATACACTGCTATATTTGGACCTTTAAGCGTGCTTGCCCCTGTCTGATTGGTTTGCCTGCCTGTCTTTGGGCTCCTGTTGGATTCTTCTATGCACTGAACTTGGATCTGCCTCTTGACTTCGCCCTGTGGATTATCCGATCGTCCTTCATCAGCTGGGATCTGATCTCCTGTCAGCTCTGCAGCCTTCTAGGCTACCGTGTCTGGAACTTTCTGGCAGCGTCTGCTGCGTCTGTTCAGCCGACAGGCTGGAATTATCCTGGTTCTCTGGGCCTGGATTGAACCAGGTTAGTGACTCACACGTTCATAATCACCCTCTGTCATATTTTTGCATTCTCTAGCCTGTGTTTCTCTCAAATAGACGTTCCTGCTTCAGACACCCTGGCCGCTGCAGCCACTCATTTATGTCATTGTTTGAATAAACGCTTTTTATGTAATCCACTATGCATCTTGCCTGAATTCTGGGTCCTACCTTCTGAACCGTTACACAGAACCTGAGCTAGATGAAGTTTGAAATGGTCTCATTTCAGCTTTTTTAAATCTCTATGTACAAAACATGTTCTTTGCTTGCAACAACAAAGGAACAAAATTCACTCCATACATATCCCAGCATGTCTTACCTGTTATGTCTGAAGGGTTTGTGGTTACAGGGGAACCACTCCTTGGCTCCTACAACACGGCCATCAATGTAATAACCCATCAGGTTCTTCAAATGCGTGGGAGCTTCCCATTGGACAAACACTGATGACTTGGTGTTTCTTGTGGCAACAACCTTCCCAGGAGCAGAGGGAACGCCTGTTTAAGAAGAAACCTCTAGTTATAAATCATCTGTTAAGCATTTATGTGGTAGATACCGTTTAAATCTCCTTACAGACAAATCAAAAAGTTATTGTTTTGTCAAATTCAAACATTTTCCCGTCAAACTGAAATTCGTATTAAACAATCCACAAAAATGTCACTGATGGAATTTAAATCATATTCAGAAAAATCCTTAGGTTATCTAAGATATGGGATATGACATTGTCTGTTGAATACTATTTCTTAGATTTAATCAACAAAGAAAAATCACCTTTTACAGTTTGTGTTGATTGTACTTTTAGTAAAACCCAAACGGTGCACGTTTCTGATGTGAAACTAAAGTGATTTTGTTTTTGAAGCATCTCCTATAGCTTCAGTGGTCAGTCTTTGCTCAAACAAACACACAGTAGAAGACCGACTCATCAGTGTAGGATGTGAAGTATTGGCTTAAGTACAGAGTGGTCATACATTGTGACAGAAAATACAAGTGCAACGTTGTGCTTATTCAGAAACAGAAAACATAAGTTCCATGTGTGAAGGAGTGCCCTCAGAGAGTGCTTTATGATTTCAGTCATACGTACCAACTGGCAGCTCAGTACCTGAAACATAGGGTCACTCATTTACAATAAGAATCACTGGGAATAATTCACATATTCTGTGGCAACCATTAACATTAAGATCATCTAAAACTCCTGAATAAGAAAAAGAAACGATAAAATCCTTTGGTCACATTTGAAGTTAGTAAGACACAGATTCTGAAATGTAATTCATTTTTTATCCCTACAAGAACCATAAAAAGAATTTATTCTATAGAGAACTTCAAACATTTACGCAAAGTTGACATTTATGGGTTAAGATATCTGTCAATAAAAACATAAGTGAAAGTGTCAGTATTTGTAAAATAAATAAGTAAAACATGAGGAAAAGTGAGGCTTGTATTGCTTGCTGTTGTAATTTCATCACAATCATAATCCCTTTATTAATCCCTTGCAGGAAATTCTTTACTTGCAGTGCACCCAGTTACAAAAAAGCTAAAAGTATAAGATAGAATAAAATAAAAAAAATTAAACCCCTCCCCTAGTAAAATAAGAGATCTAGTATATACAATCAACAGTATTTATAATGCTGCTAAGCACCTAAATTACTATTATCGTACATATGACATCACACATCTCATCTCTGAAAACACTAGCTTAGAAGTTATATACAAGTTACGGTTTTCAAACAATACAGCAGTAAAAATCACAATCGTTGCGTATATTAGCTGCGACATATGAATCAACGTGCTATGACCTAAAAAATTTGATTGACAGATGACTATCGATATATAATTGGCCCAATTTAGGTGTTCAGGCTGACATATAACTAACTAGCCTGTATAAGATAACAAAAAAATAACACGAGACAAGTTTTTTTTTTTAAAGTAGAAGTTTTATCACTTTTGGGAGAATATGTCTGATAAAGAGCACATTTATATACGTACATGTTTAAGCCAGAATGATTTGAAATTTAAATATGACTTCCCTACACATGAAGTGCATGATTGCTGTTTCCTTGATGTTATCCATTATTAATGTTTACTTTAAGTTGCGTAACATTTGTTATATTTGCGTAATTTTAATTGTGTAGATAAAGGAAGAAAGCAAAACATCGGCTTTAAGAATTGCCCAAAAAATATTGGCAACACATTTTTAGAAATTCGGTCAGAAAGGTATCAAAATAATTGTTATCGGCTTTAAAGCTGACGTATAACTAACCGGCCTGCATAAGATAACAAGGAACCCCCCCACACAACACACACACAGATTTTAAGACGGGATTGTTTTTAAAATAGAAATTTTCTTTTTGGGACACTATTGTCTGATAAAGAGAACATTAATATACATGTTTAAGCCAGAATGATTTGAAATTTAAATGTGAGTTCCCTACGACTTTAAGGTGCGTCACTGCCACCATCTGGTAAGGAGTGTTAGAGTTTCATCAGGGGTTTTAGATTGGAACTTGTTTATTTTTGATTTTTATATTACTTTATTTATATGTCAATTTAATTCAGTTATTGATATAGTACCAATTCACAACATATGTCATCTCAAGGTATTTTTCAGAAACAATTCAACCTGATAGACTGGTTGCTGTGCTGTATAAAAATGGAGTAATGGTTCTATTTTTGTTCTCCTCGCTTGTCTTTTCATCTAAAGCCAGTTGCCAAACAACTTTCAGGTGCATTACTGCCACAAACTGGAAAGCTTCATCAGGGGTCTCAGATTGGTATTTGTATATTTTTGATTTTTACTGTTTGATTGCTGGAAAGTTGTAATTTGTATTCATAACCACTAAACTTGTACTTTCACAGATTTGTGATGTCACATTTATGTATGAGATGCAGAGATGGCAAAAGTACTCACTTTCCGTACTTGAGTAAAAGTACAGATACTTGTGTTAAAAAATACACTGGTAAAAGTAGAAGTACTGATTAAACTTCTTTACTCAAGTAAAAGTAACAAAGTACAGGCTTGTAAATTTACTTAAAGTATAAAAGTAAAAGTAGAAACCACTTTTTTCATGCCGTTGCCTACATTTTAAATGGATGTCTGCCAATAGGACTAGATCTCCGTTGTGTTCATTTTCAATCATCTCGTCGTCCATACTACTATGCTAACGCCACCGCCACCAAGCTGCAATGATTTGCCGCGAATGAATACCGCCGAATCTGTCGATTCATCTTGTAGTGGTGCGTCAAATGCAACGTAGATTCCCATCCAATTAGATTGAATTTGGTATTGATGACGGGGAAAATAATCACGGTAACTCCATTGAAATGATTCAAAACTAAAGTAATGAGCCAATTTTTAAAAATGTAAGGAGTAGAAAGTACAGATATTTGTGTAAAAATGTAAGGAGTAGAAGTAAAAAGTTGCCATAAAAATAAGGAGTAAAGTAAAGTAAAAATATCAGAAAAATCTACTTGAGTACAGTAACGAAGTCTTTGCACTTCGTTACTTCCCATCTCTGCTTTCAGGTGCATTACTGCCACAAACTGGAAAGCTTCATCAGGGGTCTCAGATTGGTATTTGTATATTTTTGATTTTTACTGTTTGATTTCTGGAAAGTTGTAATTTGTATTCATAACCACTAAACTTGTGCTTTCACAGATTTGTGATGTCACATTTATGTATGAGATGACAACAAGCAGATACAAATCTGAAACTTCTTCACATTTAAAGACATACATCTAATAATAATAATTTAAGTTCATTGATCTCAAATTGGAGAAATGTACTTCTACATTTAAACCATACCCTTTTGGGAGCAGTGGGCTATCATTCTGGGGTGGTCGGGAAGCAGTGTGGTGTTAAGAGTCTTGCTCAGAGACCCACAGTGGCAGTTGGTGGGAGTGGGGCTCAAACTCAAAACCTCAGGATTCCAAGCTCTATGGTCTAACCGCCAGGCCGCCACTCCCCGAAATTCAGACACCTATGCTCTCATTGACAGTTATCTTACCCAACAGAAGTTTGTCATCATAGCTGCTATGATCCAAACTCCAAAACTGAGAAAAATGAGGTAATAAACTAATAATAACCCCAAAAAGTAACCCCTGATAAAGTGATTTGAATTATTTAATTTGATTTTGTGACTAGTAAAGCATTTGTGATTGGGATGTTCTAATTGGATCCTCTTACCATCCTCATCCACCTTTTGGATGGGCTCTGAAGGCGCTGAGGCCTCGCTGGAACCATATATGTTGACAGAATAGACTCGGAACTGGTACTTTTGCCCGTCTTGCAAATCAAATAGCGGGTAACGGGGTGAATGCAGTTTGACGGCTGTGTTGATCCTCTGCCACGCTCCAGTGCCTGCTAAGCACTGTGGGAGGGTTGGGGAGGAGGGATGTACAAAAGATAGAGCTGTCTATGAAAATTGCTTTCTCAAATATCTACTGAAATATTGATCCAAGATTTTAATCAGCTTAAAATGTGTCTAGTAGGGTTATTGTGAAATTCCTGATGAATTAAAAACAGAGGGAGTGGTTTATGATTGTGGTCTGGAAGCTGAAACAGTTTAGAGCAAATGAGGGTTTAGGTAGTTGTTTTATGAGGCAAAGACACTGAGCAGAGTTTATTGACAAAAAAAGGCAAAAGGTGAATCAACACGCACCTTTTCAATGATGTACCAGAGCGGAGCCCGTCCCCGAGGGCTGGGAGGCGTCCAGCTCAGCACCACGTACGATTTGAAAATCTCAGACGCATGCACGTCCGTGGGCTCGCCAGGGATTGTAACGTAGCCTAGATTGGGAGCGAACGCTTCTCAGATATAAAATACAGCAGAAGCCACTGCAGGAGTCCAAAAGATTTCTTTTAATGTCAATATCAGAAGGGTTTTTGCCTTCATGACACTTTGCTTACCAGAGAGAGAGAGCATCTCTCACAACTGTGTTTATTTAAAAATGTTCCTGTAATGCACTTTGATTTGACATTTGCTGCTCTTTTATCCTTTAGGTAAGAAGGACTCAAAGAGATGATTCTCAATAAGGAATTAAATCTGATTTACTGAGCAAAAGAAACGCAGGACTCCAACAACAACCCCATCTTTTTCGCCAGTGGGATATTCTTACTTCAATTAGATTCTTTTTAATCAGTGTTTGGAGTTAATGGGTAGAGAGAAGAGCAATCTGGTTGTAATGTCATAAAACACTCTATTAATAAAGTATGAATGGAAGTGTCTAAATAAACAGTGGGTTTATTAACTAAAACAATTAATTTGTTAGAAGTGCAAGGATGTACCATCAACAGTCAGCTGAAACGGGAGATTTCGTCAAACCTTACCAACGGTTAAAGAGCAAGAGCAGACCTTAAAGGTACTTGGTCACATTATTTTATTTTATTTTTATTTATAGCCCAGAAGCTCATTCTGTCATGATCTGGCCTGTTTGCTCCCCCTTAATTAGTAATTCCTTTCACCTGTCGTTTTTCCCTCCCTGCCTCAATTATAATTTATTCCTCTCACCTGTTTCCTCTAGTTTATATTCAGTTCAGCCTGAGCATTCAGTGCCAGATCATTGCTTGTCTTTATGTCAGTCTGTCTGAGTTCATGGTTCATGTCCAGGATTCTAGCAGCCAGTGGAAAGAGGGTTTTAGTGTTTGTCTTGTCTCCTGATCGTCCACTGTTCCTCCCCCACAGAGTCCTCTGGGTTTTTGGCTCATAATGGGGGGAGGTTCAGTTTTTATCCAGTAAGCCTGGCTCCAGGGAGGAGACCAGTTTAAAGTCCTGCTTCAAGTTCCGGTTCCACGTCCTGTCTCGGCTACCCTCTTCCACTGAGCCTGCCTGTCTGCACCTGATCCTGTCTGCTCCTGTGCGTGACCACCTGGTCATGCTTCTGGTCCCAGTCAGACTCTGAACCCTCCTGGGAGCCTGTGGATGCCTGGAAGTCTGGATCCTGCCACCTGTTTCTGTTCCTGCCTGATCTGGATCCTGCCTGTTCTGTCTGTTCCTGTCTGTTCTGGATCCCTGACCAGAACCGGCTTCCAGCATGACCTCTGGGACTGCAGCACTAAGGGACATTCTTGGTCTGGACTGTTAAACCAGGTAAGTGACCAACGCTGATAATTTTCTGTCAGATGATCGTGGTCACTTACCTGTTTTTCTCCCACTACAGAGTGTCTGAGATAAGGCGGTGCCCCGCCCCCCCGCTTGCAGTGTCCGCGAGCCACAGCTCCGCTTTAGTTTTGTTTTATTTAATAAACGTTTTCCTACTGACTGTCTCCTTGAATACTGGGTCCATCTGTCGGCGGTTCTTGACACATTCTGGTTACATAAGATGATCATGTCCTGCAGCCATATTATTTGTTCATTTTGTGTTTTTTTGCTTCATTTTTCAGCCATTTTGTTAGAAAGTAAAACCCTCAGTTTGTTTGTAAAAACAACACAAGTAGGATCCTGCATGTTCGTTGGAGGGAGTAAACAAGGAAGTAAACTACTGCAGCTAAGCTAAGTAGCATCTTCCAACTATAAAATAATGAAGAAAAATCCAAGATCCAGTGAGAAAAGAAACAAACTTGTTTTTTATTCAAAACGTTATAAGACTGGAAAGGTGCTGGAAATACAGTTTAAATATTGGTATTCACTGACGTCTCTACAGTCTAAGTACAAATAATATTATAAAAGAGAGATCAACTTTTTTTTTGTCATTACACTGCCAAAAATATAAAGCAACTAAAGGACTTCTCTGTATTTAACCTATCCCATTGGGGAGTAGTGGGCTGCCAATGAGCGGCACTCAGCGTGCAGTGTGTGTTTAAGGGTCTTGCTCAAGGACCCAGAGTGGCAGTCTGTGGGAGTGGTGCTTGAATTCAGAACCTCTGGATTCCAAGTGCAATGCCCTAACCACTAGGCCACCACTCCCCTAGTGTTTGGTCTTGCCTTGTCAGTTCTTCAGGTCTTAAATTGATCTCTGTCCCTGTTGGAGTAACTGTACATCAGTTTATTTTAAATAATATCTGTTGGTTTTCAACCACCCCTAGCTGTTGTTTTAGTACAAGGCAGTGCAGGACGGTCAGGCCAATTTGGCAGTCTCCATTTTTATTCTGTGGTACTTGGTAGGTCTGTTTATGTCTGCTTATTGCACCCATTACTGGAAATGTACTTAGATTCAAATAGGACACTTATATTATCATGATCAAATGGTGTTATGTCTTTTTGATAAATGTGACCAAGCACATTTAAGCTCCAGCGCAATGAGGATGTGTGAAGAAGACCCAGAAACAATCCAACATTTCAAAACAGGGTGTAAGACCCTGGCAGTAAAGGAATTTGTGAACAATGTCACAAACAAGTAACAGGGATTCTATACAGGGACATCAATGAGACCTCTTGGGCGAATTAGGCATCACCTCACGAGGTGGTGGAACATCACTGAGTAAAGATCTTGTAGGACATATAGGTACAAACCAGCAAAAGTAGAGAACAGCTGTTGGGCTTGATGTGTCCATCCCCAATGAAGGATAAATATAACAAAAAGGGCTAAGAGAAGAGGTAAAAGTGGTGGTAATTGCCCTCAACAGACACATAGAGAAATCTTAACCTATTGGGGGTGACTATCCTATTCTCTTACAGTTCTTAAAACACCAATTCTACAGGACCATGTAGTCTGATTTTCATTTTCTTAAAGCGAAACCAGTCACACCCCTTAAAGCGAAACCAGTCACTGTAAATGGTACATAAACTCACTATCGTTAGGGATCAGGTTAGACAATGGTGTCCATAAATACAAACTAAAGGAAAGCCAAAAAAGTCTCATTCAAAGCTCAAGAAACAGATCCTGATGGAAAAAAAACTGTTACAAATAACACAATTTGATTTTAGTTTTTGCACTTCAAAATGTAAACCTTCATCTGAAGAGGTTCTAAAGTCAAGGCTGGTGACGACAAAGTCCCAGGCTTTCAGGCGGTTTGAATAGAGATGCAAATCCATATTCAGATTGGTTCCTCTAACATAAATAATAAACAAATGAATGATAGTGGCAGCCGCTGAAAGATGTTTGGTCACATGCAGGAAAGTGTAAATTGGTCTGAAGTGACAGAGAATCAGCACTAATGGTGAGCTTCACGTTTCTGAAAGCTGAAATAAGAGGCATCTTCTCATGTAATGAAATGGCTTCCTTCATTCCTTCCAGAAACCATCTATCTTATTTATCCAAAATACGAACACATGGTCAAGATCAGAGTGTCCTTTGTCCTTGAAGCCTGAGTGTCCCGAGGAGCTGGTTCTCCTGTGTTGAGCCTTTCGTCTTTTGAAAGGTTATTTTGTTCCTCTGAAGTCTGGACATTTCGGCGTGAGATTGTCTTTGTGAATGTTTTCATTGGGATGAACCAATCTGTCTCAAATGTTAGTTACATACTGTCCCTTTTATCTGGACATTTCTGGCCGCTATGGGAAAAAAGTTTGGAGACCACTGGTCTACTTCCTTTCTTCAGTTCAGTTCTTCAATTCACACCTTCTTGCATGCCACCAAGCATTTCTCAGTGAACTAGGCCACCAATGACCACACCTTGATGTTAGGGAGGGTTAAGTCTACATCTGAGGCTAACTGCTTAAAAGCCTGGACCTTCATCTGCTTTAAATTTAGATAGTCCTTCAGAAACTTAACTTTTAATCCTTTGCGGAGTGACCATGTCCTGGATAAAGAATCTTTATCAATACATAACAGATAATCGGTTAAACCTAACATCTGAACTGGACAACACAGCTTAAGACCAGGGGAACAGGATGGTTGGAAATACTCTGACAGACATGTCTCACATTTTGTACCAATAAAATACAGAATAAAATAGAGAAACTGTAAGAAATGCTTGAATGTGATTATTCTGAATAGGTGCGGGGCAACAGCAGGAGTTAGTATTTGGTGAAATAATGAATTATTGACACTCTGTACAAAAATATTCTTTGTACTCTACTGTACCTTCCAGGTCATCATCCTTGATTACTATGTCATATTTTCCTTCAATTTTAATCACTGTTTTTTGGAGAGGAGGTTGAAAACATCAGTTAGGAACTGTTGACTTGCTGCTTTCCTGTGATTTGCGTTACCTTCATCGGTACCTTGCAGGCGCTCACTCTCTGCCGGATCAAGGGCGGTCACTTTGTCAGACTTGCGTGAGGGTCTGCTGATGCCTGCACTGTTTACTGCTCTCACTCTGAAGTAGTAGGAGTGGCCCATCCTAAGGTTATCCACCGGGTACTTGCAAACCTTCACCGGTGCCGTGTTGCACTGGACCCAGGTGTCGGTACCAGCTTCGCAGCTACACAACAGAACAGGAGAGCTTATGTTAGCTTCGTTCCATCACAAGAAATTAAGAATATTGCACAATTTTGTTAGCTTTTACAATAGAACCATGTTTTTAAATGGGGTTGCTTTATAACTGAATGTTTTTCAGAAATTATGTTAAAACGTAGTACAGAAAAGCTGCCATTAGTTCACTTAGTGTTTTGGACTGAGCAGTCGCCTAACTGTACTCATGTTGGAGAGCCAAAGTCTATTTTAAGAGAGCCTGAAGTGTTTCAGGGTGCTGACTGACCGATCCACAAAGTATCCAGTGATCGGTGCCTCGTTGACGGTGTTGGGAGGTTTCCAGGCAACCAAGATGTAATCCGAGTTGACATCATATGCCTTGACGCTCATTGGTGCACCAGGGGCTCCATTTACAGACGCCAGGGCATCTAGGAAGCAAAGAAAAATAGAGATCAGCAGGAGGTTGAAAAGTTGGATTGAAGAACCATAAATATTAGTTTGATAATATATTAGACATCAGGTTTTATAACACGGACAAAGCTCGAAGTTATCCAATCTCAAGTCTTGGTGCAGCATCATGTCTCACCTGACACAAACAGGTAGGCACTGTGCTCGGTGGTGCCTTCCTTTGTGAAGATGCGTATGGTGTAGAGTCCCTCATCGTCTTTGGCCAGATGAGGCAGGGTCAGAGATGCTGCACCTCCACCCACCGACATCTCCACCAGATTACTTGGTTTCAACAGCTTGTCTTTCAGAAAACAAGATGGAGTAAGCAGAAACTGATTAACCAGAACCCACCAAATAACTGAATTTAAAGGAATGGATGGATGGATGGATGGATGTCTAACCATCTCTGTACCACTGGATCAGGGGTGGTACGTTGGGGAGGTCAGGAACAACCACCATAGTACAGACGAGTTTGATGGAGCTTCCCTCAACACCAAAACTCACTGGGAACCTCTCCAGCAGGGTGACCTCCAGCTTACTGGGGTGGATCTCAGTCAAATGGGGCACTGCACATGAAGGAAAAATTCAGTCATGGGATTTAGTGCAGCAGCACTTCAGCTGTTTCAACATTCTCTACATGTTACATCTAAAAAGCAGGCTAAACCACATGGGTTTATATAACACCAAAGATTTGCTCTTGAAGTAAGAAGAACTTGAGGTAACTTTGATAGCTTCGCCCTAATCAGATGTTTTTGGACAACTTCTGTCAATGTATGATTTTTTTTTAAAGTAGATAACAACATCATTTATCAAATATTCCTACTACTAATTCACCAGTAGAAGGTGGCATTTCTAACAGCCTGTTCTTACCTAAACCCAGATGGCAGTACTCTCCTGCTCCTGCTGGTCCTGTCAACAAACAGGAAGGTAGGATTTTTACAACTGCTGCTTTATTATATTCTGTTTTAAGGAAAAAGTCATAGACTTACTCTTTACAACAACCATAGCCTTGCTGGTAGCTGTGCCATGCTGATTGGTTGCCACGGCACTATACTCTGCAGTATCACTCACTACACACCTACAAATAAAAAGAAGATAAATGTTAATCAGTCAAATCGAATTTAAAAATCAAACACATTTTATGTTGGAATTTGGTTTAAGTCTATGACACCTTTAGCTGTTTTTATGCAGAACAAATTATTTATCATCTTCTTTGACCAGAAACCTCCTATTATTCCACATTGTTCCATAAAAACTCATTATCACCTTACAAGTATGTTCTAAGTATAGATTGTGCAAAGTTTCACAGGTTAAATCATTTCTTCCCACTACCTTGTTTTAAACGTACACATTTCAGTTAGTGATGTACTTTATTGGACATCACAGGGGTGGAGTAAGAGCTGTTCATCTGACTTTGAGGAGAGCTTTTACATGTCGAGCTACATATAGCTATATGAAGAAAGTCAGGATTCATACTTAAAAACCCCTTCATCATTGCTCTGGGTGGATGCTAAAATATTAAGCTAATCAAAATACCAAACAAATAAAGCAAACTTTTTTTTTTAATTGAGATTCCGTATTGCAGAGACATTAAACCAACACTTCTTCAAATTCACTTCCAACTCTTAGAATGTTGATGTTTGGTCAAGCCCCTCTACTGTCAGATACTGGCGCCATGGCGGTACTCTGCTCGTAATTTTTCAATGCGCAACAGGGCGTGGCCAGAACTTCAATGTACTGTAAAGTAAAAAAGTAACATTAACCAACTCTACCCTAAACCCCCATAACTGTTATCAGACACTCCTAAAGCTACCAAAAACAATAAGTCTTTATGCTAATTTTCTTTATTTGTCTGCATTTACCCTGGGCATCAATATATGACGAGAGGGGTGCTAGTATTTGATAAGTTAGATAAGGAGTGAGAATATGTTGACTATAGAGACAGAGTAGCACCTGGGCTGCCAACCAAATGCACTGAATGAAAGTACAAAGTCGCAAGGTCAAGATAAAGACATAAGGATTGACCTCAGAGAAGCATGTAGCTGCTGCTCCCCATTTTAAAAAGGATTATAAAAATGTATTTTTTTTTTCAAATAGTTTTTTTACCATTTCTCAGAGAAATATTGCATGTTAGAAACTATTTAAGGCAGCTCACAATCATCCTAGAAGTGAGAATTACTTCAAACTAGCAGAAAAGTCAGACGTTGATAGGCTTGTTTAGTGAATTAAAGACCATTAGAACGACTCAATGTGTGCAGAGTGTTTTGAAGGGTTACCAAAAAAAAAAAGCCTCTTGCTGAAGACAAAATGGCAGCAAAGTTCAAACCAGGAAACTGGCATCTTAATGAAGCAATTAGCAATAATTAATGGACATGAAAAAGTAAAAGACAAGGGTGTGAAACACTAAAGGTATCCTTTAAGTTGGAAGATGGTGCAACGTCACACATCATTGCTGTGTTGTTCTTTGTGTTTTTGTACATCATTGAACTTAACCCCTCCCTGCCTATAAAAGACCACCAGATCAGGTAGCATAGGAGCAAAAATGACAGCGAGGGTGTCCAGTGCCTGAAAACGTTCACCTGAAGAGGAGCATTTGCCAAAATGAAGTTCTGTGTATTATTGACTTACTTCTTTACCACTCTGTATTGTGATGCTTTTTGCTGTGTATATGAGGTGATTAGCTGGGGGGGTCAGGGCAGGGTTGCAGCTAGAGTGGAGGTAGAGAGAGGCATCACTTTTAAGGCTCAGTTATGATTTGCACCATTTAGTTCCAGTGAAAATAAGTCGTGCATCACAGCCTCTGTAGCTTTTACAATCTGTGCAGCTTTTCCCTCTGTACCTAATTTTGTACCTTAAATTACTCTGCCCGGCTCTGGAGGCGGCTGTGCAGCACAGACCACAGGCTTACAACATCACACAACTTGTAGATGTAGAAAGCAAAAGTGTTTTCAACACAATCTACTGATAATAGTTATATTTATGGGCCAAATCATAAAATGTCTCCAGATGTTTAATCTTGCGAATCGTCTCCAGGAGGAGCCGGCGCCTGGCCACCATGTTTTTCTGTGTGAAGCTAAATTTTGTTGTTAGAAACGTTCCTAGCAGTGCGATGTGGATATTCAAAATGACATAATTAGGCCACGTGGGTGGACATTCAAGCACAAACCAGGCTTTACATATCTTGTGTTTAATACAGACATCGCTCAACAGCTCCGTCTAGTGGTTAATTCCTCCTTTATTGAACCACAAGGCTTCCAGATAATGAATTCTTTATTTAACCTTTACTTAACGAGATCAAAAACCTCTTTTTTCAAGGGAGTTCTGGCTAAGAGGCAGCAAAGTAACATAAGAAACAGAGATACATTAAATTAAATGGCAGTTACATAAAAAAAAATATCAAGTAAAACAATTACAGATAATTGAGGCTACTTCAAATTCTTTCCCTTTCAATGTAAGAGCATTTAAGGAGCATTAAAAACTCAGGCAACTTCCAGTTTCTTTGTAAAAAATCCCAGGCACAAGGAGCAGCAAAGTTACAGTAAAGGCTTTCTTCCCTATTTCTGTGCAGGCTATAGCAGCAAGCAACAGCTTATCGTTGGATCTCAGGGCAGAAGAAGCCATGCTTTTCTGTCTAAGTAAGTTACAAATGTAAGGGGGCAGCAATCCAAGAGGGGCCTTGTAAATAAAAGTGTACCAATGACACTGCCTTCTCTTATAGAGGGAAGGCCATCCCACCTGAGAGAACAGGTCACAGTGATGTGTCATGAAACATGGTAAACAGAGTCAAAAATTTGAGAACAATACCAAATAGTATTAGATTATGGCCAAGTCTATAAATTACAGACACATTCTTTGTTAAAAGCAAAAAAACCATCTTATACCAACTACCAGGCATGGTAGTGAAGGGATGATGCTGTGGGTTTGTCTTACACTCACAGGACCTGCACAGCATGCTGTCATCTAACCAAGCTTCTATTGTCCTGTTTGTGCTTCAAACAACAGTGAGGCCATTAATCGATCAGCTCATCCAAACTGGGTCACCAACAGCCCGAGGATCAACCAAGCAACACGTGTAAAGTAGAATAGCTAAAGCACAATCATCAGACAAGAGGTCAAAGGGAAAGGCACAAGATAACATCATCCAGTGATCACAATGGAAGGAAGTTCATCAAGCTCTTAGATAATGGGTGGCTCTTAGTTTTTCCAAAGACAGGAAATTTAGTCCGGAGAGTTTTTTTTTTCTTTTTCTAAGCGTCCTGTAAGTTTGATAGTTTTACAACTACAAGAACCCTATAACCTCCACACAGATGCTGGTTCCAGTGGCGTCACTGGTTCAGACCCATTTGAAACTTTTGTCCTGCTGTTTTTTTTTAACAACTTTCACAAAGATCATCCTAAACTCCCAGTTGGCCTAATAACAGCTCTTTCCTGTTCCTCTTGTTTCCTGTATGGGCGGCTCCCCCAGCCTCCAAACACTGATTCAGGGGTCTTCTTCCCGCCTTGAGGGCGTAACCTAAGGACTAGACAATCTGCCATGACATCAAGAGCATTCATTCCCACTATAGAAGGAAGAAATGTGACCTTCACCCAAGACAGAACTATTTTAAGATGATCCTTTCTCAGCTGTTGCAGCATAAAGTCACCCCACTAACTAGAATGCTTCTTACTTCCTTTGACATTAGAAATCATATTTTATTTTCCCTTATAAATAAAAATATCACATAGCAGAAATAAGGTTAATATAAGAAATAAAAAAAAAAACTGTTTGGAAAGGAATGGTAAGAAATTAAGGCCTGGAGAGGCATTAGAGAGACGGACAGGAAGCACATGCAGCACCAGTGGGACGAACTGATGTCTCCGATGACACAGAGCTCAGCACTTTGATATGAACAGCTGAGGGCTCCAAGGATCACAGAAAACCAGTTACTCTCCATCTTGACTCCCTGTAAATTCAGCTCAAAAATAAGACTGATAATAAATTTGGACTGTTTGAAAGTTTTAATTCTGCTAGTAATTCTGCTTTCCTTCTTTTCCTCTTGTGTTCCTTCAGTCAAACATGGAAGTGATGGAAAATTGAGTTTAAATTCTTAAAAAAGGTTTGCAGCAATTAAAAGCCGAACAATAGAATGATGTCATGATTACATCATCAACTGGCGCTGGTTTCCATGTTAATAAATCAGAGCATTAAATATCAAAACGCTGACAAATAAAGAATATGAAAAAAAAAGTTTTTTCAATACCGACAAAGCTTGTCTATTCTGTTAATGTTTGATGCAGCATCTTTTTTGTAATTACATTAGTTTGACCAACAGAAAAATGATCTCAATGTGAAAAACTTTATTTTCTAACTAAATGTTGGAGCCAGAGGTTATTATTAAAGGGATACATTTGCACTTGTATACGGAAGAGGATTAGCGCAACTGAAAAAAATAAAAAAGTTACCAGATTTTTTACATTTTATTTCAGTATAATATGAGAAAAAAAGTCAGAATTCTAACTTTAATCTCAGAATTCGTATAGGGCAAAAAAACTGTGATCTGTTTTTAAAAATTTAAACAAGAACACTTTGCATGGACATCGCCATGTTGTTTACACTGCAATGCATTCTGGGTAAATGACATGCTAGGTCCTGTAGTACTAGCTTCGTTAAGCCTACACAACGATGCCGTTATACCTTTTCAGTTTGAACTACAGTGCATTGAAATTGATAATAATGTAGAAATAAGAGGTGATGAACATGAGGAGGACCAAATAGAGGTAGAGGGCAGAGTTGGCTGAAGAAGATGCTGTTAGGACATGCTAACCAAGATGGATAGCTATGCTACAAAGCACTCCAGTTATCAAACAGAGGATGTTAACAGTTAGCATCTGAATCAAAACATATTCGGATATATTAGAAAAATGAGGGGGCTGCTCAGCGGAACAGTGGGTAGCACTGCTGCCTTGCAGCAACAAGGTTCTGCGTTCGATTCCTGGCCCAGGGTCCCTGCGTTCATGCTCATGGCCACGACCAACAAACTTCCTAGCAGACATGACGCTAAATCTGCTGCGACTGCAAACCTCTTTTCTTTCTTTTTCTTTATTCTTTTTTTTTGGCAGGCATTAAACAGTACCTAGGTTAATACCGCAATCAAATATATCTTTTTATGTAGGCCGGGCGCTTCCGGGCACATTGCTGCCCCGTTAAGTTAGGCTATCCTTGCACATACCAGCGGGACTCGTTATGAGTATCTATTTACACGCCCAGAAGTGGAAAAACTACATAGAAAGTTCAGCTTATGCCAGCGTTTTAGGAGATTCTGGGACGTCAGGCATATGCAAGCTAAATTATCAAGGTGTGACAGACCCTAACATAGAAAGTGTATATAGATCAGTGCTTCTGTTTTCCTTTTGTATCTCTGCTTCTGTCTCCTTGAACCCCAGTCATCCTCGGCAGATGGCCGCTCACACTGAGCCTGGTTCTGCTGGAGGTTTCTTCCTGTTAAAATGGAATTTTTCATCTCCACTATAATCTTCAATAAACTGGTTTTCCTTAGATAGAAAACTTAACCAATCTATGAATGTGGTCTGATTGAATTTATTCTGTAAAGTGCCTTGAGGTTACATGTGTTGTGAATTGGTTATCCTAAATCTGATAACTTTGTTTACTGAATTATTTGGAAGATTTTTTTGTTTTACTCATTAGATGCTCCTCATGTTGCTAACCAACAAGGTTGATCAAAAAATGAAGGAGATGTGCTTGAAGGCTGAACCAATTTTACAAGAGGAAAAGAAACTTATAAACTGGATGCTTTCATAGCCTATTTAGCCTGAAGATATTCTCGGTAAAATCAGCCTTTTTGATTGATAATTTTGTTGATGACTCTTTTGTTGAATAGCTGAGTCTCATCCATCTAAACTTAAACAACCTTTCATGGGAGGACACCTGCAGAGTTTTACCTGCTAATGATCAGACTGTGGACTCCATACTTGCTCTCAATCTTGTACTTTCCTGGGGCGCTCAGTGGATCCACTGGGGCTCCTCCTTTATACCTACAACCAGAGATGGGAAGTAACAAAGTACAAATACTTCTTTACTGTACTCAAGTAGATTTTTCTGATATTTTTACTTTACTTTACTACTTATTTTTATGGCGACTTTTTACTTCTACTCCTTACATTTTACACAAATATCTGTACTTTCTACTCCTTACATTTAAAAAAATCGTCTCGTTACTTTAGTTTTGAATCATTTCAATGGAGTTACCGTTATTATGTTTCACGTCATCAATACCAAATTCAATCTAATTGGATGGGAATCTACGTTGCATTTGACGCACCACTACAAGATGAATCGACAGATTCGGCGGTATTCATTCGCGGCAAATCATTGCAGCTTGGTGGCCGTGGCGTTAGCATAGTAGTATGGACGACGACATGATTGAAAATGAACACAACGGAGATCTAGTCCTATTGGCAGACATCCATTTAATATGTAGGCAACGGCATGAAAAAAGTGGTTTCTACTTTTACTTTTATACTTTAAGTAAATTTACAAGCCTGTACTTTGTTACTTTTACTTGAGTAAAGAAGTTTAATCAGTACTTCCACTTTTACCAGAGTATTTTTTAACACAAGTATCTGTACTTTTACTCAAGTACTGAAAGTGAGTACTTTTGCCATCTCTGCCTACAACCCACCAAACAGGACAGTGACAGTTATCTTCCCATTTCCATCTCTAATCCTGGACCATATGACACTTTAAATCTCTGTTATTGGTTGGGTGTCAGGTAAACATTACACTCCTTATCAAGCATCTGTTTTCTTATCTTAATGTAGCACTGAAACGCAGCAGAAAAAAGAAACATAAATAAGTCATTTTTTTCTAGAAATAAATGTATTTTCCCTTGTTTTAAACAGGCTAGTAAGACAGTTTCCCTGTAGAATAAAAGTGTGTAAATATAAACTGAGAAAAAAAAATTCTTGAAATCTAAATATCCTAATCTATGGGAAAACATTCCTATTTAATTGAAGTCATGTTATTTGATCAATCAAGAGCATATACAGTTATTTGAAGACATTTTTAGTTTTTTGTAGTGTAACCAACTGCAAGAACTGATGTTAAAAGGAGTAAAAAAAAAAAAGTAGAAAAATAAGTTTCTTGACTCTTGAGCAGGGAAATAAGATGATCTGCAAACTAAATTATCTTTTTTGGTCTTAAAATGCGTTTATTCGATAATATGCACTGGAAATAAAATGTACTAGTTCTTTTCTTATTCTAAATGTAAATCATCTTAGTGCATAAAATGTTCATAGGGTGGCCACGCCAAAAACTAATAAAAAAATCAGTTTAGGTTCAGTTTACTGTAACAACTGGAAATTGAACGAGCAAATCATCTGTATTTTCAAAAGAAAATCAGTGAGACAGTCTATATTTTCAAAAAGTCAGTGCTTATAGATCTACACACACATTTATTCATATAAGTTGTCTAAATAAGTTGTGGTTTTGCATAAAATACACGTTGAATTGAATTGAACAGTGGTTTCTTATCTCTAATTCCAATGAAGGGCACAGCTTGTCCCAGAGGTGGTGAACAATGGCTGAAATCAAATTCAGGGGCTAGGTCCTCTGAAGTCCAGAATCATAGATTACTCATACGGATTCCGAGACTCCTCGTTGTATCATCTACAAATGCGTCCTTCTTTTTGCCCAATTTAAAGGATGGGTCCGGTGTATCCTACATAGCCTTGGGTACCCCATGGTTCATTGCGAGACCAAGTAAACCGGCTGCTCTGTGATCAAAGGAAAAAGGGACTTGGCGGACATTGGTATGTGAATAGTTCCGTCTGGAATTAATGAAAATAGTTCTTTAAATGGACAGATTGTAATATATCTGCAGTGTGGGGACTATAAATCTGATATTATTTTTATTTTCTAATTTCTATTTTGCACAATTTGCTTAACTAAGTGACAGAGCGTACGGCGGTAAAAGCCATGGAAGGCTAGACCTGTTTAAATTCACATCCAAAACTCTTCCGGTCTCCTTTTTTTCGAAGGACACAGTCCAGGTAGACCGTGTCCTTGCAAGACGCAGCCCATAAATTCGAGTTCAGCCTATGTTCCTATCGGAAGAAGAAATCCCCTGGTAGGAGTGGCCAGTGACTGCCCGTGGCCACCCCTGCCTCCCCTTTTAGCTCCGCCCTCGGTCCATTAACCCTGTCTTATTCAACCTAAAATCAAGGCAAAACACAGTTATTTTATGAAAAATTACTCACTCATATTTCAGTGAGCACTTATATAAAAAGCAGAAATATTGAAAGCCGTGTACATTCCTACCATTTAACAATAGGGTGTGGGTTTCCCTCCACGGTGCAAAAAAGCTTCACCGGGGTCTTCTCCCAGACAGTGTGGGGCCGCAGGGCCACCAAGAAGTCAGGCATCTTGGGAATTTCCTCCAGTAAATCCACTCTCTTTCTCATCATGTCCTTCACCTAGAGAACATGGATGTGTACAAAATAAAACAAGACCACTTATCTGCTTGGATCCTGTTATTTTAAGGCTGTCCTAATCATTTAGAAATAATTGAAACCATAACATATGATGCTGTTTTAAAAACGTCTTGGAAAAAGTTATTTATGTCTCTTGTTTAACAATAACAGCTGCTGTTGTATTTCATTTAGTTGATTGGTTAGTCCCCTCTGCTGTGAGGACAGTGTTCAGGGAAAGGAAACACATCCCAAAACCACAACTATTCACTGATATTCAGAGCCAGAAAACTTTAGGTAGGCAGGGACCAACATTTGCTTTGTTTTCCTTGTTTTTGAATGGGGGCACAAAGCAACAAAAAAAAAAACAAAAAAAAAAACACCTGAGTCTTAATCTTGTTGTTTTTGTCTTTGCCTCTCGGCAGGAAGTCATCCTGCAGACTGGATGTTTTGGACCTTCTCCCCCCTGGAAGGATTCTCTGAGCATCAAACTGAGCTGAGGATTCAAACTGGTGGTTTGGATCTACTTTTCCCCAAGGATTGTTTGAGCTTCTCTCTGAGTAGGGGATTCATCTCCCCAAGAAACTGTTCAAGTACCGCAGGAAATCTAAGTGGCAGTCAGCTCCTCCGTTCCTCAAGAACATACCTCAACCTGGGTAAACCCTGTCCGCCCTCCAATGAGCAAGTCTATTATTGGAACAACCCACACCTCCTGGATTCAACGAAAGAAACCTTTTTCTGGAAAAGTGAGTCCTGTTGCCTTTATTCCCTTCTTCAAATCAAAGACACAAATTTCCCACTGATCCTGAACTAACCGCAGAATCTTCCCCTTCACTTTTCAGTCCCGGTTCGACAGTGTTCATAGCAGCACTGGACTCCTCTCTATCAACTCACAATAAAACCTGCTAAACTTCTCTCTGTTTGGTTTTCTGCATGTAGCAGATGATGGTTGAGATCCTATCTGAATACAGGTAGCGCTAAAGGTGCAACACCTTAATTTTAAAACGTTTTCAAAGTAGACCTTTTTAAACAAATACATGTGTTCATCAGTTACAGTTCTGTGCAAATATAAGTAATTATACAGAAATTATTTGGTATTACGCCTTTAGTAGAGATACCATATCAGGGGCCATGACCAGCTCTACAGGGGCACTGGCCCCTCTGGTCCCCTGTCTAGAACCACCCATGGGAAAACACAAGTTGAAAAGAAAGAAGTGCGTACATTTCTATTTAGAAAATAATTGAAAAGAGGAATGTTTTCAGCAAAGTTCCTCTCAAGGTATTTTTGACCAGGAAACTTTTTTTAACTTTTATTTTCTGGATTGCATTTGCAATCCTATAAAAACACAGCATTTGATGCACAGTGTGAAAAGACCTTGAAAAGTCTGCTTGACTAAAAAAGTGTAAAGTACTTTCAATCCTTCAACCATTTCCATGACTACTTGCCTCTTTTTGGATAGCAATACTCTCCACTTGAGCTTTAGTGGCAATCCTCATTCTGTGCAGCTCCTCCTGAATAACAGCTAGTCCTTTCCCCACATTTGTAGACACTCTCTGATACTCCTCAGTTTCCCCAGCAGTCCTATAAACACACAGATGAAATTAATGTCCTAGACGTTGTTGCAGCCTTTAGCCTCCTCCTATACATTCATATTAGATGGTGAATTCCTCATTTTTTAATGAACTGTTTGCATTGAAGGCATAAAGGCTGGCGGTGGATTAATCTAAAACATGAAACACAAAATAACGGGGGAACCATGTACCTAAAAAAGGGTATCAAACTCTTCAGGTTTTATGTTTGCCAAAGGAAGTCAATGAAAGTTTATTAGCAATTTGCTGTAAATCAGAATCAGAATCAGAATCAGAAATACTTTAATAATCCCAGAGGGAAATTACTTTTGTTACTTGCTCCAGTTACAGTTTTATATATATGTACACACATCCAACTACACAATATAATAAAGATAAAAAATAAGAATAAACAAAGAGATAAAATTAATACCATGGCTATGTGTCAGTAATCGGAGCTTTGTCTTAAGCCTAAAATAGTTCATATATGACTCTGGCCGTGTCCAAACCTCTGACCTAACCCCAACATAGAGCACCATATACTGTAGGGGTTATGCCATTTTATATGAGTATCTTAATCTCTAATGGATAAAAAAGTAGTGGACTCAATTTCCCATAATTCCCCATAATAATTCAATTCTCAATTCAATTCAGTTTATTTATATATCACCAATTCACAGCACCTGTCATCTCAAGGCACTTTACAGTTCAACCAGATCATACAGTCAAATTGATTAAAAGTTTTCTATCTAAGGAAAACCAGTTGATTGCATCGACTCATTGACTCGAAGGCAATCCCTCACACTAAGCATGCTTGTAGCGACAGTGGAGAGGAAAAACTCCCTTTTTACAGGAAGAAACTCCAGCAGAACAAGGCTCAGTGTGAGCGGCCATCTGTGGTTAACCATGATGGTGGATTGAAAGGTAGAGATTATTACATTAGATCTTATCCAAGGTCAGTATATGAGAAGATATATCCCAGAAGGATTTGCAAGAGCTCTACTCTCATATGATCATGGGTTTTATTTTGGGGTCGAGAGAGAACAAAGATGGTAAGGTCACCGTTTAGGGAGGCGGAGTTACATGACCAATGGGGGCAAAAAGTAGTGACCATCTGTCCGGACGGTCAGTTAACTGAGTTCACTATATAGTCCCTGCTCTATATAGTGATTTAGCAGTTACAGATTAGGACCCTATGTCTAGCGTTGGTAAGAACAATTGCTAGACAAGAAAAGTAAATCTCCAAATTGCAGATGCATTTGATTTATGGTCTTTTTGCATTAGATAAGAGCAAAGCAGTCATTCTCTCACTGCCTCCCAAGAGAAGACAGAGTTCCAGCTAGCGTGCAGATCCAAGCATGTCAACCAGAAAGGAGACATTTTCCACACAAAAAAAAATAGTCCCATGACAATTGACTCTGTCTGTTTATATTTGTAATCATGTATGTGCTTCTTACATATGTGGTGACAGTAAATGACAGCAAATTTCTTGCTAATTTTTTTATAACATATGCCCATCAATTAGAGACTGACATTTTTTCGGGAATCCCACGGGTCACGGGATTCCCGTGGGATGGGAGTCAGTATTAGTAACGATCACGTGATTGGGACGGTACAGGATTAAACATTAAAGGGAGCAGACGGGAGCCGGAGCAAACCAATAGTAACTAAACAAAACTAGGATCGATGCCAAAATATAAAATCAAACGGAAAGAAAAAAAATCCAGTTCTGGTGCCGCCATCTTGTAGTTTTTTTCCTTGAAGCCTACACTATAATGCGAGTCAACAAAAACTACATGACTCAAAAACCAACAGTGCTTCCGCTCTGAATTTTTCACCCACGCCTAAAAACAACAATGGAGGGACCAACAGTTACTACAGTTAGAAACAGGAACTTAACTGACCCTTCATAGAAATTCAGATTCAATGTATTGGCAGAAATCTTATTGAAGACAACAAGAATGGGATTGGTGCAGGAGTGGGAGTCATTCTGAATGGGAGCGGGAGTAATTTCACCAGGAGTGGGACGGGACAGGATTTAGATTTCTACAGGTGCTGGTCATAAAATTAGAATATCATGAAAAAGTTGATTGATTTCAGTAATTCCATTTAAAAAGTGAAACTTGTATATTAAATTCATACATTACATACAAACTCATATATTTCAGATGTTTATTTTGTTTAATTTTGATGATTACAAATGACAGAAAATGAAAATCTCAAATTCATCATATCAGAAAATTAGAATATTACTGAAGACCAATAAAAACAAAGGATTTATAGAAATGTTGGCCAACTGAAAAGTATGAACATGAAAAGTATGAGCATGTACAGCACTCAGTATTTAGTTGGGCCTCCTTTGGCCTGTATTACTGCAGCAATGCGGCGTGGCATGGAGTCGATCAGTCTGTGGCACTGCTCAGGTGTTATGATAGCCCAGGTTGCTCTAATAGTGGCTTTTAGCTCTTCTGAATTGTTGGGTCTGGTGTATTGCATCTTCTTCTTCACAATACCCCATAGATTTTCTATGGGGTTAAGGTCAGGAGAGTTTGCTGGCCAATTAAGAACAGGGATACCATGGTCCTTCAACCAGGTACTGGTAGCTTTGGCACTGTGTGCAGGTGCCAAGTCCTGTTGGAAAATGAAATCTGCATCTCCAAAAAGTTGGTCAGCTGCAGGAAGCATGAAGTGCTCTAAAACTTCCTGGTATGTGGCTGCGTTGACCCTGGACCTCAGAAAACACAATGGACCAACACCAGCAGATGACATGGCACCCCAAACCATCACTGACTGTGGAAACTTTACACTGGACTTCAAGCAACGTGGATGAAGTGCCTCTCTTCTTTTCCTCCAGACTCTGGGACCTTGATTTCCAAAGGAAATGCAAAATTTACTTTCATCAGAGAACATGACTTTGGACCACTCACCAGCAGTCCAGTCCTGTTTCTCTTTAGCCCAGGCAAGACGCTTCTGACGCTGTCTGTGGTTCAAGAGTGGCTTGACACAAGGAATGCGACAGCAGAAACCCATGTCTTTCATACATCTGTGTGTGGTGGTTCTTGAAGCACTCACTCCAGCTGCAGTCCACTCTTTGTGAATCTCCCCCACATTTTTGAATGGGTTTTGTTTCACAATCCTCTCCAGGGTGCGGTTATCTCTCTTGCTTGTACACTTTTTTCGACCACATCTTTTCCTTCCCTTCGCCTCTCTATTAATGTGCTTGGACACTGAGCTCTGTGAACAGCCAGCCTCTTTAGCGATGACCTTTTGTGTCTTGCCCTCCTTGTGCAAGGTGTCGATGGTCGTCTTTTGGACAACTGTCAAGTCAGCAGTCTTCCCCATGATTGTGTAGCCTATAGAACTAGACTGAAAGACCATTTAAAGGCTTTTGCAGGTGGTTTGAGTTAATTAGCTGATTAGAGTGTGGCACCAGGGGCCATCAATTTTGAACCTTTTCACAATATTCTAATTTTCTGATATGATGAATTTGAGATTTTCATTTGTTGTCATTTGTAATCATCAAAATTAAACAAAATAAACATCTGAAATATATGAGTTTGTATGTAATGTATGAATATAATATACAAGTTTCACTTTTTAAATGGAATTACTGAAATCAATCAACTTTTTCATGATATTCTAATTTTATGACCAGCACCTGTACTCTGGCCCGGGATCGGGACAGGACACTATTTTTTTCTGTGGGAGTGGGACGGCGCAGGAGAGAAAATCTACTCCTGTGTCAATGAGGAGTGAATCATAGACTCATTGATTCAATGCAATCAGCTGGTTTTCCTTATAATTTACCAATCTGATTTTATAATCCGGACGAGTTGTCTCTGTAAAGTGCCTTGAGATCAGCTATGTTTTGAACTGGCAGCATATAAATTGAAATAAAAAATTTGAGGCGTGTTCTCTCTGGGTACTCCTGCTTCCTCCCACAGTCCAAAAACATGACTGTTAGGTTAATTGGCTTCTCTAAATTCTCCTTAGGTGCGAGTGTGTGTGTGAATCTCTGTTTGTCCTGTTTCTCTTTGTGTTGCCCTGCAATGGAGACCTGTCCAGGGTGGACCCCGCCTCTCACCCATTGACAGCTAAAGATAGGAACCAGCACCCCTCGCGACCCCCATTGGGATAAGTCAACATATTCTCATTATCAGTGCGTATGAAAAGTTATGCACACTATTTCGTACGTTTTGGACGTTTTTCCTCAAAAAACCACATCAGTGCGCATGCGCTGGCAGACAGAAAAAAAAAGCTGATCCGCGGACGGACACCCAGGGATGGATGGATGGATGGATGGATGGATGGATGGATGGATGGATGGATGGATGGATGGATGGATGGATGGATGGATGGATGGATGGAATTATTTCATAGTGGAAAATCTAAATCTAATCACAGTTTTTGATTTTTTTGGGGGCTAAAATGGTAAAGCCTTAATAAGACCTCACCTCTGCCGGGACGCTGGTATGGTATAGGCTGGTTCTGCCATAGCCGCTGTGGCCTGAGCCTGCACCTGGTGTGTCGACTTGGAGCTGGATTTCCTGTAGGGAGGTGAGATGGGTTAGAAGTTCTGGTTCTGTAAAGACTGGCTGGCATTAACAAGATCCAGTCATTTAAAAACAGGTTGGTGTTATTTCTGCAATCCTTTTCGATGACTGGTCCAATGAGACGACAATTAAAAATCAATTAGACGTCACTTTTTTCTTTAAGAAATCAATAAAACAACGCATTTAGTAATTATTTGACTAAGTTCCTGTTTCAACCGCAGAGAGGTGAGGGTCAGATGCTGACATGATGAGGAAAACACCTGCAGTAAAAAAAAAAACACAGAACCCTCTTACAGTTTGACTGGAGAAGCTAGAACTAGAGCATATAGACTAATGAGGGTCGGAGAGAAACAAAAAGTTAATTTCAAACACACAGAAATATAATTATTGCTCTGTTTAACAGAACGTACAAAGAGACAGCTTTGATGCAAAGCTTTCTAACAGTGAGGGCAGCAAAACACACATTTCATTAATAGATCAGGAAAGAAGCAGCAGAGCATCGGCAGGAGACAGCAGCTTCTAAGATTACATTATCTATCTACCTATGTGTCTGTCTGTCTATCCTGTTTCTACTATTATGAACATGTTTATTTTCAAAAAACCTGACACTTTATCATTTTTTGATTTTTAATTTTTATGAATTTTAAATTTGAATTGATTAGTTCAATCTTAAACGAGATGTTCTGTACTTTCAATGGTTTCATTATTTATAGTTTTTCATCATAACAAATATAGAATGTTTCTAATATTCTTTTTAAAATCTTAAATCTAAATCTTGTCCGTCGTGTGATTTTTTTTTATTGTTATTTAATGTTCTGTTAATGGTTTTCCTGCCTCCTGGGGGACTAGGAATAAAAATTGGCTTCAAAATAAATACAAACTGTACCGAATACAGTTTAAACAGTGATGCCCCAACCAGGTTAATCCTGGTTATCAGTGATCTCACTCACCTGCTGATTTAGACAATGATTATTTCCTCTAAGGACTACCATGCATAAAAAAAGACCCTTTGTTGTTTTGAATCCATTAGAATTTAAGAGTTTCAAGAAGATGCTCAAAGCCTTCATAAGAAACTTATGGGAAACTTCTAAATATATACGCTATTGATCAGTGACTTTTATGGACCACAGTGGTTGTATCTAATCAAGAGGAGAAAATCTAATTGAGTAGGACTACGTCAGGCTAATAAATGGGCTTCCGTATTCCATAAATTTCTTAGTTCTCTCAGGACCCACAAACAGAGATCTAAAACTACATAGCAGAATCAGAATCAGGCATGCTTTAATAATCCCAGAGGGAAATTACTTCTAGCTACATAGACAGCTCCCATTCTTGTTTTTTTCTTTGTATGAAACACTGCAAAAAACAAAAATAAAGCAAAAACATAACTGTCCAGCCTCATCAGTCATATTTAATGGAACCACTGCAGCTGTTTCCAGCTCAGACTTTGTAAAGAGATGATTTGTTTGCAGACAGCAGGAACACAGCAGCTTCAGGTGAAGCGGGCCTCTGTTGTCCTCGGCTAATGGAGCTACAGACGACGCATCTGGCAAAGCAGCAGCGGCTTTACAAAGCAGAGAGCAGATTTCACCTTCATACCTTTCTGTATGCTGCTGGACAACATGTCTACTGTGATGATAAGCATAATCAGTTTTAACGTGGCTCACAGCCTTCGCCTTATACCAGGGTTTGACTGTGGAAGCCATGATGGGAAAACGTCAAGGAGACCAGGCTTTAAGCAGCAGGGGAAGGGAGAGACCACACATGGGTTATCATGACACAATAACCACCACTGCTTATGTTACATCAGCAGGATTCACAGGTCGGCAAAAAGCTCAGATCTTCACTCACTGCTGTGAGTCTTTCCAAAATTTATTTGCCAATGGCCACATAAGTCTAATATAAAAATGGAAAAATTTTACTATTTTACAAATGGATTGAACATATTTTTATTTCTTATTTCTTTATTTCTTATTTTTATTTTGTTTTTCATTGTGTGCGATACAGGTACACTTGCACCTTAATCCTTATTTACCTTGATATACTGTATATATATATATATTGTTTATTGTTTATTCTTAATGCACCTTTTCGTCTTTGTTTGCACCTTCTTTTACTTCTATGCCAATATGTGACAAGTGAATTTCTCCGCTGTGAGATCAATAAAGCTCATCTAATCTAATCTAATCTAATCTAATCTAATCTAATCTAAAAGCTCTAGTTTGACCTTTGTCTAAAACTGCTTTCTAGTGTTGCTCATTACCACCTAATATATGGAGGGAATTTTGTACCATTATTTGTGCATCAAACAACATGCTTTGTAAATGGAAATTTGAAAAAAAATGCAATCAAGAAAAAAAACGTAATTAAAAAGAGGTTAGATTGTAGCTGTTTTCTTAGGTTTTGTTTTTAATTTTATCAGTTTTTTAAAACTAAATTTATTTAATAAAAATTTTTTTAGAGGTTCTATATTTTAACATCCTACATCTTGTCAAAATTGTATTTTCTAAAACTCTTTTAATATTAGGATTTTATATTTTCAAATGTTTTGTTTAAAAAAAGGTTGCAAAAATTGCAAACAAATTGCAAAAAAGAAAACAGAAAAGCAAATCTTAAAGACTTTTTCTGATTAAGACATTTTCCAAAGTTTAATTTCTAAATCTTTTTTTTTTTTTTCAAATTTCCTTTTACAAAATAGGCTTTTTTAAATCTATATAATGTAATATAATAAAGTGATTCTTGCTAAATATCCACATAAGTCTAAATATACATCCATATGCTAAATCGGTTTAAAGAAAATCCAACAAACTGTAGAAATCCAGCGGTTTGACCTACTTTTGGAGCTTCCTACCTATAACTCTTCTCACCACCTAACAGAGAACAGCTATAACTAGCTCTGAAACAGTCAGGAAATCAATTTTAGGGAAAAAAAAAAGGATATTTATCATTAGTAAAAAGAACACCAGTGATAAAATTTCTCAGATTATCAGTCAGTCATCAGATTTCAAAGGTTCTTTCAGACTAAACTGCAAGTCAGTTATACTACTTACAGTTAGCAGCAGTATTTTAAATCATCTTTTCACAGGGTTATTTTTTTGTATATTTGGCCGGAAAGAAAATGAATTAAGAAACACTCAGCAATCATTTATTACCCTCATGATTCAGGGTTTAAGTTAGATTTCACACCACTGCTTAGTAAATACTTCCCTCACAAAGACATATTAATTGTACCCGACCGAAAATGAATTCTGAATGCAGGGCAGCTTTAAAAACCAAAACTTATTCTATGAAATTGATTTTCAAGAAATATTGACATATGCAACTTACCTTAAAGAATGAAAACAAGCGAGAAGCGGTAGCAGACCAGCCTAATGCCACTTGGGAAGCTCTTGCTGATAGCAACAAAAATATTACCCTCTCACCAGAGGAATGCCGTGCTCCTTCCACCCCATTTATGGATGCACTTCAGATTATATATAGCATTTCCCACCAAACTTCATTTTCATTCACAATCTGCTGTTTGGAGATGAAGGACATGCATCTATATCTGCAAATCAAATGAATGATTTCTGATATTTGTTCCATTCATGGTACTTTATCTAGTCTGAACATTTTCAGACCCCAGTTATTAAAGAGTTAAAGGAGAAAGCTGCATCTTCATATGAAAAAACTAACCACAAGGAACCTGCAAAAAAAAAGAGCTACCAAGAAACAATACAGCACACCTTTCATTTTAAAAACAGACGTCTTATTAAGGCTGTTCATAATGCCTGTTTTATTATCTTCCTGATAACATTTAATAAGTTATTAGGAAGTGTAATCATTGTGTATAAAGGTTTAAATCAATTGAAAACACTGGACCAAGTTATAAGGTTATATTTCTTTGGTAGACTAACCCCCCACTCAATGACACCTTTTTAGGTTTCTTAAGACAGTTTGTCCTCCTTGGCCCGACATATGCAGGCAGCGTTCAAGTTATTTTTAACAGCAAGGCTTGTGTTGCAGGGATACCTCTCCTTGATACTGTACAAGACCCTCTGCAACTATTTATTTCACAGGAGCCAATTTACCCCTTTAAAAGCTAAACTTTAGAAAAATAAATCTTAAATAACATTTTTTAAGTAGAGTTATCATTGAGCATTTTGACAAATAAAAAAAACAACATCCATTTGATTAGATCTGTTATTTGTATCATTTGTGACACATCAGGAATTTGCTGCAGTTTATCATAGATTTTAGTTCACCGTACATCTGATTGTATAGGCAGGTTTTTCGAGAATGAAAATACCACAGTGATAATGTAGAGTTCTACAGAGTGAACTTTAGTTCTTTAAAGCGCCTGAAGTTGTCCTGAGCTAGTTCTATAGTTATGCTGCTATAGGCTAAGACTGCTGAATGACATAACAACCACCTAGAATTTTAGGTTCTCTGTTTTTTTTTTGTCATAGTAGCTTCATTTTTTTTTTTAATTCAACAATTTCACACTTTACAAAAAATACACGAACATTTGTCTCCATTGAGAAAATATTACACTGTGCATGTTGGGAGCAGAACACAACTACGACGTTGGGGACCGAGAACTTTTGGCCATTAAGTTGGCTTTGGAAGAGTGGAGACACTGGCTCGAAGGAGCAGAGCATCCAGTCCTGGTGTGGACTGACCACAAGAATCTCGCCTACATCCAGTCCGCTAAACAAGCTACTCCTCGACAGTCAAGGTGGTCTCTCTTCTTTTCACGTTTTAATCTCATTATCTCCTACAGACCTGGATCTAAGAACACCAAGCCCGATTCTCTCTCTCGTCTCTACGCTGTGGATCAACCTGAGTCACCCCAACCTGTCCTCCCTGCCTCATGTACCGTTGGAATGGTCACTTGGGAGATAACAGATTTAATCAACGCTGCCCTGGCCACAGAACCTGACCCAGGTAATGGACCACCTAACCGTACCTATGTCCCCTCGTCTGTTAGGTCTCGTCTCATTCATTGGATGCACTCTGCAAGATTCTCTGCTCATCCGGGAGTGAGCCGAACAGTTTCACTAATCTCAAGACGGTTTTGGTGGCCCACTTTGTATCGAGATGTAAAGGAATATGTGTCTGCCTGCTCCACCTGTGCACGGAACAAAGCCTCTCATCAGCCACCCTCCGGTTTGCTGCAACCGCTCCCTGTGCCCTCACGTCCTTGGTCCCATATTGCCATCGATTTCCTCACTGGTCTCCCAGAGTCTCGAGGTATGTCAACTATTTTAACCATCGTAGATCGTTTCTCCAAATCTTGTCATCTGATCCCTCTCAGAAAGCTTCCTACGGCCTATCAAACCGCCCAGTTGCTGATCAAGCACGTCTTTCGCCTCCATGGTATTCCCCAGGACATCCTCTCAGATCGTGGTCCCCAATTTGTCTCACAGGTTTGGAAGGCTTTCTGTTCTGCTCTAAATTGTAAAGTGTCACTAACTTCTGGCTATCATCCCCAGTCAAATGGTCAAACTGAGAGGATGAACCAACACCTCGAATCCACCCTCCGCTGTCTCACCTCCAATAATCCCACCGATTGGAGACAATATCTCACCTGGATAGAATACGCCCATAACTCACTCAAGTCTGCATCTACCGGTCAGTCTCCCTTCCAAGTTAGCCTCGGCTACCAATCACCTCTCTTCCCTGCTGACGAGAGAGAGATATCGGTGAAGACTGTCAATCACAGCATCCGTCGTTGCCAGCGTGTTTGGAGAGAGACCATCCAAGCATTCAACCGTTCCTCTGAGTCCTCTAAGAGGTTCACTGACCCCAAGAGACGTCCAGCCCCCGAGTACAAGGTCGGCCAGGAGGTCTGGCTGTCCACCCGGGACATCCCCCTCAAGGGGATGTCCCGCAAATTATCCCCGAGATTCATCGGCCCATACAAGATCACTCGAGTCATCAAACCCTCCGCTGTCCGTCTTCAACTTCCCCCGACACTCAGGATTCACCCTACGTTCCACGTCTCCCAGGTTAAACCAGTCATCTCTAGTCCCATTTGCCCTCCATCCGACTCCCCTCCACCCGCCCTGGAAGTCGATGGACATCCGGCCTTCACCGTTCGCCGGATCGTGGACTCCTGTTGGCGAGGTCTCGGTTGGCAGTACCTCGTCGACTGGGAGGGCTACGGTCCGGAGGACCAACAATGGGTTCCTGGTTCATACATCCTCGACCCTTCTCTCATCGAGGAGTATGAGCGTTCCCTCCCGTCTACCTCTTCCGCACCGCCAAGGGGCGGTCGTTGAGGGGGGGGGTACTGTTGGGAGCTGGAGAAATACACCTTTTCTCCAGCAGAGTCCGCCCTGGATCCTCCCTGCTGAGCTGCTCTGCACACCTGCAGCTGATGATCTCATCTGGAGGACCTGGACTACTTAAGCTGCCTTCAGACCTTGCCTCGACGCCGCAGTGTCTTAATCAGTTGGTTAGCACTTAAGCCATAGATCCCTAGTGAACCAAGTCTCCTTTGAGTCCAACCTGGATTCTAACCCTTTTGCCTCTGCTTCCAGGTTTCCTGTTCTTTCTCCTGTGAAGCTCTGGAAGAGCTTAACCTGCCGAGCCAGCCCTCCGAGCCAAACCTGAAGACTCACTCTCTGGATTTCCTAGCAGCTCTGGATACTGAGCTGGAAACACAAGCCAAGGTCAAAACAGCCTTTAGAAGTAAGACGCTGAAACAGCTTAGGGACTCTGCCAACCCAAGCTTTCTCCGGACCCAACAGTTCCGCTCCCAAAGCCTCCTCTACGTTCATCAAGGTACAAACCTGAACACAATCAGTCAAGTCTCAACCAAGCCTTCGCTAACCAAACTGTCTTTCTCACAGACGCCAGTGAACCGGTCCCAGCCCAGAACCATTGCATCAGTCTTTATTATATGTGTGAATTTGCCATAAACTCTGTTAAACTTTCCATCCGTGTCGTCAGTGTTCTGCATATTGGGCCTCCCTGATACCCATCATGACAGTGCAGTATCCAACATTGCTGGGTTTTTTAACAAAACACTAAAAACAAAAATGAAAATCATCACATTTTGCCAGGGAAAGTACAATTTGCAAAAAGATATTAAATTGTTTACACACATTTTCAGTTTTTGTTGCCTTTTGATTAAGAGAATACTTAATAGTGTTGACATATTGCTTGACCTCATTGTTAAAAGCAATAAAAGATATTTTGGAATGTGTAAACTTACATTTATGAATGTAGAATTTTGCCAAGAGAATAATCAGATTAATAATGAAAGTTCCATTTGGTCTAGTCTTAGTACTGTTAAAGTCATAAAGTCCAAAAAGGACATCCTTCCAGAATAACTTAAAGTCTTTCTCAATTTTTTCTGCAATAAACTTCAGTCAGACCAGAGATTTTGGACAAAAGAGCAATGCCAAAACAAATGGGTTACTGTTTCAACACTCATAGAACAAAAAGTGCACAATACATGTCTTTTTGAAATTTTTTTGACAATATGATCATTAGACGGGTAAAGCTTATGAATTATTTAAAATGATATTTCTTTAATTTTGTTGGTCAGCAAATATCGGTTGGGTAAGAGCCAGACCTTCTTTCAGTCAGTGTTTTGCACAAATTTATTCCAGTATGGAATCACATATGGAACTGTAATGAAGTCTGCTTTGAACAGGGATCTAATAATTTTATTGTTCTTACCATTATTACAAGAAAACAAATCTTACCAACTGGAGTGTCAGTCGTCATAGTAGCTTCATCTGGTCTGTTATTGTGTGGCTGTGACATCATCCTTGAGAGAAATATCAGCTGTCATTCCTGGACAGGGGCCACCTATGGAGCTAGATAACGTTGGCCTTTTGTATCTCTGATTCTTTCTGTATGTCTTCTTCTGTCTGCCTGAACCCTAGTCGGTGTCAACAGATGGACATTCAGACTGAGCCTTGTTCTCCAGGAGGTTTCTTCCTATTAAAATTGAATTTTCTTCTCCACTGTCACTACACACAAGCAACGTTTAACCTCGGGTCAGCCCAACTTTTATACTTGGTTCCCTCGACCTTTTACACTCGGATGTCCCCAAAGTTTACCCTCAGTTTCCCCCAGTAATGTTTACCCTTGGCTACCTCCAGGAACATTTACTCTTGGTTCCCCCGAATGTTTACCCTCTGTTTCCCCCACCGTTTACCCTCGGTTCCGTCAACGTTTACTCTCAGTTCCCCCCAACTTTTACCCTTGATCTCCCCCAAAGTTTAGTGTCGGTTTCACCAAACGTTTACTCTCGGGTTCCCTGACATTTACCTTCGGTTCCCCCCCGAAGTTTACCCTCAGTTCACCTGGACATTTACCCTGTCTCCAACCCGGACGTTTACCCTTGGTTCCCCCTTATGTTTACCCTTTGTGTAACGGAATGTCTACCATCGGTTCCGCCCAATGTTTACCCTCAGTTCCCCCAGGAATGTTTA